AAAATGAGGAGAAAAACAAAAATTCGTGAATGTGTGCGTGTAAAAGAACGTTAAATTCATGAATGCATACGTATACAAAATGGAGTAAAGAAACGGATTGAAAAAGATATGGAACAAATTGAAAAAATTGGCAGTATCATTTAAATACTATACAGAACCTCCAGAAGAATGGAAATTTACCAAGAAACTTCAAAGTCAAGGAAAACAACCAAAAAAAATTGATATTTAAAAATTAAGTAATCTTTTTATATGGGAGAAAATGATAAATTTTTTATATATTTTTTAACCATTTCATCCTAAGCAAGGCAATAAAGGCACTAAGATACAAAGGGTTACTGCATGTGAAGACTAAGAGACAGAGAAAAGCATTATTAAGGAGAGAGAGAGCAATAAAAGAAGAGGAATTAAGAAGTGTATGTAAATATAAATAAAATATCTATAAGAAGAGAACACAAGCAAAGTCAAAATGAAAATTTTCTTTAGGAATGCGTTTTGTTACCTAACATGTTGGTAAAGAAAGGTTTTCCTTTTGTTTTTATTCACATATTAAATGAGAAAGAAAACACAGCACTGAACTTCCCTCCACTCGATCATGAGGGAACACCATTTCTCAAAAAATAACAAAAAAAGCAGGTTTGATATTAAATAAATTCTTTTTATTATATATATATATATTAAGATAACAGAATGAGATGTGTGACGCAGTCATTTTTAGCTTTTTGTTTCAGTTTGTAATGACATAGGAATAAAACTATCATATTTGACTAAAGATAACCCAAATGAAATTATATATGAAGATGAGATAAAATGGAAAATTTTATTAAAGATGCATTGCACTGAGGAAGTGTTTGGCTTTCTCAGTTTAAATGAAAGAAAGACAGATAAATGTGTGAGAAAAATGCCTTGGAATCTCTGGGTAGAAGTAGGTATGATAAATAAATTACCTTAGATTATTATCTCCTAATTTCCATACTTGGAGAGAGGCTGTCTGTCTGTCTGTCTGTCTCTACCTGTGTCCTTCTTTGCTTTATCTATATCTGTATTAGAGCTGTTTGGTATAACTAGGTCTTTAAATCAGGGGTTTTTTTTTTCACCTCACACACATCATTTTGTCTTTCATTCAAATAGAAGAAGCCAAAGAGAGTATACACTTGCTTCTCTGTTGAAACATTTAATAAAAATTTTCCACTGTGTCTCATCTTCACTTTTCTGTTAGATACTATGATACATCCTACAAACCCATATATATATATATATATATATATACACGCACACACAAATGTAACGAGAACGAAAATAATATAAATTCTAAGGATCAGAGCATTAATTCAAAAGAGGGCTCAATACCAAGAATAAAGCAAAAATTATTTATTATAATTTTTACATATATGAACAAAACAATTTACTCACGACAAAAGTGCACCAGTCGAGATGCATGGGCATCGAAACAAAAATGCATCTTTGTCGTGAGTAAGTTGTTTTTTCTGTATGTAAAAATATATAGTGTATTTGGGCATAGTCCCTCTTTTATGCAAGTTTTGTTTAAAATGACTGAAAACATGTGGTAGCTGAGATTTTATATAATTTATAATGTGTTCATATAAGTTTTTTCCTTTTCCAAACAGGGTCAGTTGTTTTCAACAAAACTTACATGCATATATATATATATATATATATATATATATATATATACACACACACACACACACACACACACATACACACATGTACGTGTGTCTGCATATTACCACTTAGATGTTATTTTTAGTGGACATGCAAATTTGAGTAAGCTGTCCGTTTATTTATTAAATAGTGTATTTATTTATTTTCACTTACTGTCCTAAATATTTAAGAAATCTTATTAAAGAAAAGATGTACTCTTTAATAAGTTTCCTCAAATACTGAAGCTGATAGATGAAAATAAATAAATGCAGTGTCTACTCAAATATTAGTATCCACTAAAAAATAACATTTAAGCGACAACATCTGTCAGATTAATAAATAAAAAATCCATTACTTTATATATATATATATATATATATATATATATATATATATATATATATATATATATGTGTGTGTGTGTGTGTGTTATATATATGCCATTTGATTTTGATGTATAATGGTCAGCTTCTCAAAGAGATCTGACATTTAGCAATATACTCAAGAAAGCTTTTTTTTCAAGCAAGTGTCAAGAGTTTCAGTCTAGTCAAGAACTTGTAAAATCCTAGCTATCCATATAGTAGTGATCTGATAATTTAAAAAAATTTTTTTTTTCTCTAACATTTGTATAAATAATATATATTCTTTCTTTTATCAATTAAATCTAAATATTATTTCATGTGTCAATTTCTTTGAATGTGATCTAACCACCAAAAATGTCTAATCACTGAAGCATCATGAAAACCTAAGCAGAATAAAGCTGTGCATATGAGCAACTTTGTACTGGCCATTTGCTGCTTTTTAATACAGATTTGTCCTGTTACACAGGTAGTTGTGTATGGGTGAAAATTTGCGCAAATCATGCAGGAATAGAGTATTAGCAAATGGTTCAAGGTTCATTGGAATTAACAGAAGCAACACTTCTGCTCAACAATCTGGTTTTAAATTTATGATTACAGCAACAGCCATGATGAAAATCCACATGACACAAACTTTTTTATTTTTTGCCTTTCATCAGAGAGGAGACAAAAAAAGAAAAAAATTAAGATTTTAAAAAGTAATTCTTAATTTTTGTGCTTATACAACTCCAAAGGCAATTGAAGAATTTCTATCACATGAATACAACATTAAACCATTTGGTAAGGAGTGGTTGTTATAATAATAATAATAATAATCATCTTCCTTCTCCTTTTTAAAAAAAAAAAGAGGAAAAGTTAAACACAACCAAAAACATGGACTCTATTGCAGAGGCATATCCATAATGTAGAGTGTGCAGTAGAAATACCTGTCACATGGTAAGACATTAGCAAGATGAAGACACCATTGCCACTTGCCTAAGTTCACTAGCACCACACAGGTGGCAATTTAAAATGTGGGAGGGATTTCTGCCACACCCTGTATAACGAATTGCTAAACATATACGACATTGGTGAAAATAAAAAGTCGTAATTTACTTTCCATGTAATCAAATTTTTAGATTAGTATAATTTATTTGCTATAATTATGTGTAGGCTCCTCTAAGAACTCTGGAACAATTTAATATTGGGTTCTATGTGAATGATTCCAAAAGAGAGAAAGTGGTAAGATTTATTTAAAAAAACCCCAAACAAAATAAAACAAAAACCTTGCAGTCATGAATTCGATCCTTGGATCAAGCAGTAAAAGTAAAATGAGCAGAAGCAGTATTACATAAGTTGAGATGATGATTATGCTAGGGGAAGTAACTCTTATCAATTTGATAAGAGTTATTTCCCCTAGCATACACAGCTGAATAAGAACAACCAGACTTTTAGTGGCATGAAGTCGGCCAAGTCCCAGACGTTTTAGCAGCAGGCAATTGAAGACGGCTAATGAATACACTGGCAGCAGTTCAAATAATTCAGAATATTGGCTATTATTCATCTCAGAAAATGCCGAAGCATGACTATAACAAGTAGGACGAAACAGCAGTTCAAACAGAAAATATAATAATAATAATAATAATAAAGGATATGAGGAAGGCTTAAAAAACACAATGGCTAAAAATGTGATAAAAACAAAGATAAAGATATTATTCTAAATAATTTAGATTTTTTTAAGCTCAGGAAATGTTGGGTTGAGTCATTTAAAATCAAAGCCATAGTCATTATAACACACACACTATATAATTTTTATACTAGATTCAATAAGAAACTAAAAATACTTGTCCTCTTTTCTTGTAAAAGTTAGTTTTTCTAACTAATCTTACTTGACTAAATAATGTCAATACAATGTTTTATTTACAATTACGACTTGAATGAAAAATTTTCTTCCTTGGAAAATTCATACTGAATGCATATTGTTATTCAATCTGCAAATAAACTAAAATTACAAAATACATTTTTTTTTATTGCTATAAACGTTATTTTAGTGAGGTATATCACTGATTAACAGTTAAAATAATGTCTATTGGACTAGATCATTGTAAGTCTTATTAAAGAAAATGTGCTTCTTGTCAGGAACCAAAGCATCATTTCCATTTTTAGTTTTGATGATCTAGGTTGGCAGACATTAATTTCACTGGTTGCAAATATACAGGCATGTCTAGCCAAACAAGGGTGCCTACTAAAATAATATTTATAGTAATAAATAATGCTGGATTAAAAAATCTATTTGTTCAATTACAATAATCTGGTAGTGGGGGAAAGTCATTTTTTTTTGTCTGATAACTTTTAAGATGACATGATGTAGCCATTGTTTTATTCACATCATTTTTTTTTCTTTTAATCACAGCAATTTGAATTTTTTCAACCTCCCTCCAGTTTTTTTTTTGTTGTTATATTTGAATGCCAAATTTTGAAAGGTAGTGGACATGATGTGTAAGGGAGTGGAGGTTCATGCCTTCTCTTATTAAGGTTCAATGTTTCAAATATAACAGGCACCTGAAGAAGGGGAAGGGTACGAAAGCCAAAACACTGTAAAAAGCAAAAACATAAAAAAGAGAAAATCAACCAACCGAACAAACAGAAAACAAGAACAACCAAAATAAAATAAAACAAAAAACAAAAAAAACGAAAGCAAACAAAACAAAAAAACTCCAAACACCACCCCCAAAACAAAACCAGGTCAGTTTTATGAAGAGTTCATGAATGCTTAAAAAGTATACTTAATTATAAAAAGATAAATTAACATTCAAATTACTCGTTAGAAGTTGGTTATATGAAAATAAAGTAGAAAGTAGATATTTTAGTGGACATTAGCTAAAAAAAAATATTTTTGTTATAAAGTACCAAATGAAAATTTGAGTCGACTCAAAAGTCCAGTCCAGCTGGTTGACAGATGTTCCCAAAATTTGATGGGCTTATGATGATTTTTGCCTTTCAATCATCCTGAAAGAAAATAAAAATAATTCTAAGTTAATGAATCTTGCTACAATGTGACAAAAAAAAAAAAAAAAAAAAAAAATATGGGATTTAATCAATCAATGAACTAAAAAAATTTCTTAAATTATTTAAATTCAAAGATGAAGATGTTTTCATTATTATTCATTTTTGCCTTGTTTTTCTTGGTTGAATCGACTCCAACCAGTCAAGTAAATAATTTGAATTTGAGATAAGGTTTGGTTCAATGATTCTTTTCTGTTAGTGTCTGCATTTTTTGACTTCCAAAAAAAAAACTTTCATGCACCCCATGAATAATTGGAGACACATGTATGTGTATCTGTCTGTATTTCTGAGATGAGGTATTATGTACACTATTTACATTGTCCTCATCTTTGTTGCCATATTTATTACATTTCGGCTGTTGTATGCTCTGGCCTTCTTCAGGTAGTTGGAATGTTGAACAGAACCTGGTTAAAGCAGTGGAGAACTTGGAGAGGGGAATTAACAGGAGATAACTGATAACTGACATCCATTAAACATGACACGTGGAACTAGAACAGTCTACCCCAGTGAGTGAAATAAAGGTTTCAGTACAACATTCTAACCACCTGAAGAAGGCTGGACCATACAACAGCCGAAACGTTGTAATAAATATGGCAACAAAGATGAGGACAATAGTCTGAATAATGTAAATAGTGTACATGTATGTGTGTCTATATTTCTGAAATGAGGCATTGTAATTATTGACATTCAGAATATTGTCCTCCAAATTGGAATTTCGAACTGAACCCTCAGTGTATGAAGTTTTGGGACTTATAAACTTAAAGTTTCAGAAACCATTTTTTTTTTTTTTTACCAGAGCTCATATTGCAATTTTTGTTGTTGTTGTTGTTATTGCTTTTCTCTAGCATTTCTTATTACTGGTTTTCATATAGTATTCATTTCTATGCTTGGTCAGCTCAGGAGATTTTTGTGGCCTAGCATATATGCTGATTCCTTAAGTTTTTGTATTTTCCAATGATATTCTTTGTCTATTTTTTCAACCTGATCCTACAGAGGGTGGCGATCTCCCTTTTCTCTCCATATGTGGTCAGCCACACCTGATTTTTCCACTTCCCCTTGTGCTACAGCTTTCTGGTGTTCTTGCAGTCTTACCTTAAGGGGGCAGCCTGTTTCCCCTTTATATTTCTTTCTGCACAGGATGGTGTACACACAGTCCTTAGTCATGTTCTCCTATATTGTATGACAGAGTAGGATCATACTCAGAAGAGGTGTCTGCAAAGTGTTGAACCACTTTTGAAGATCGTCCTGATGCCATATGGACCACACATCTTTTGTAATTTTTCCAATAATCCTTTCACATAGGGTAGGCAGAGCGAAGCTGTCTTCTTAGTGTTGTTATCCACTTGTACCCTTCTATTCTAGTTTGTCGGATCTGCAGCCACATACCCAGGGAAGTTGTTACATTGTAGGGTACTGCTTATACTGATCATTTCTTGTTCATATGTCTCTGGGTTGCCAATTATGACTTATGTCAATGTTGTAAGCAGCAAATGATCCCTTTCTTTACACTGTATGGGTGGTAGGAGTTGAACAATGTTGCCATATGAATGCAATAAAATCATTCATAGAGTATCTGTCTGTATTTCTGAGATGAGGTATTATGTACACTATTTACATTATTTGGACTATTGTCCACATCTTTGTTGCCATATTTATTACAATGTTTCGAGTGTTGTATGCACCAGCCTTCTTCAGGTGGTTGGAATGTTGAACTGAACCCTTTGTTTCGCTTGCTGGGGTAGACTGTTCTATGTCTAATGGATATCAGTTATCTCCTGTTAATTCACCTCTCCAAGTTCTTCTTCCTGGGTAAGACGTTAAACTACATCCACGTCCTGGGTAAGACGATAAACTATGTCCAGCAGCAAGGTCTCTGTTCAGAAGGTTTTGAGGAGCGTGGAACCACCTCTTAATTGCTGGTGTTTCCAGGTCCACTCCGACCCGGTGTGGTAGCACCTGTTAAGGTCCCAGCTATGGGAAAATAGTTAACTATTACCAACAATACTTTTTTGAAAAGGTTATTACCAGCAATACAATTTTGAAGGAAAAATATTACAAGAAACAGATTTTTGACAAAAAATATTACCAGCAATAAAGAATTTTGTTGGCATTGACTAGCCCATTGTGGTTGGTGTGCTGTGGGACAAAATAAACTAAACCCATCTAAACCAAAGAATACATATTCTATTCATACGAATCTATCCTAAAAATCTTGTCAGCATTAAATCACCCATTGAAGTTGATACGCTGTAAAAAAAAAATAAACCAAACCAATCTCTCCACTGCCTTAACTAGGTATTGAACTCACAACTCATTGGGTCCTGTCACTGGATCCTTAAGGACACATGACACAGTGATAAAGGTTTTCGTTAAATCTAGTGACATGACCCAAAGAGTTGTGAGTTCAATACCGGGTTAAGGCAGTGGAGAACTTGGAGATGTGAATTAACAGGAGATAACCGATAACTGACATCCATTAAACATGGCACATGGAACTAGAACAGTCTACCCCAGCGAGTGAAATAAAGGGTTCAGTTTGACATTCCAACCACCTGAAGAAGGCCAGAGTGTACTACGGTCGAAACATTGTGATAAATATGGCAACAAAGATGAGGAGAATAATCCAAATAATGTAAATAGTGTATCATTGTTACAGTTCACAATGGAGAGAGAAAATGATAAAAAACTTGCATTCCTGGATGTACTAATATCTTGAATAGGGCATAGGTTCAAGACATCTGTATACTGCAAGCCAACATTCACTGGACAATACCTCCACTTCAATACCTGGCAATTGCAGTCGAGAGTCAAGTTAAAGGGAGATAACTGAGACACCAGGAATAGGCATGGAATGTGGAATTAGAACAATCTACCTCAGTGGACGAAATAAAAGGTTCAGTTCGAAATTCCAATCATTGTCACATAGCAATTTTCTATGTCAAAATAACAAAATATCATCTTTGACAGTGGATATCTTTGTTTCATGTCTGTATAACCACTCTGAAGATGGCTCATATGAGCCGAAAGCTCAGGACCAACTTAATAAAAAGAATATTTAAATGTTGAACATATTTGTCTTTATTTTCACCAGAAATTAAAGCAAACATTTAAACATTAGAATGGCTCATGATCAGACATAATAGATACTCATTGTCTGTTATATTCAATTATATATATATATATATATATATATATATAATTTATTCTTGTTCTTGCAAAATTTGTAAATGCTGGGGAGAAACTTTGGAATGTGATTAAAAACAATTTATTTGTAAAACAATTTACGAATAAAAAAAGAATTAAATGTTCCAAATGAATATTAAAAATGCACAGTCAGGGTTGTTTAATAGGTGCTGGCTTACTGCTGAGTCATATACAGACTGGGTTGTTTTTGAAAAGTGACCAAGATTACCTGATTTTATAGTAGCAGGAAATGTTGACCAATTCAAGTCACCAGCCTCTGATTGGTCCATCGTATATATTCAGCATCACACTGACATTTAATCTTATACAAAACGGAACTATTTTTAAAGTGAGACAGATAAGCTTTAACTAAAGTGGGAAATACCAAACAGGTCTCAAAAACAACATATAACTTGATAGTGGAAAAACCTGATGTAATACAAATTGACACCATGTCAGCGAGTATTTGACACTTCCTACCTAGCCACGGTAGTTTCAAATAAATAGGACAAAGACTGTACCCAAAAACTACCAGTTCTTTGAATTGTTTAATCTTATGTCCAATAACATGCTTGATGACATTAAAAATACAATGAATTTTCTCAAGTTCCTGGTTAAGGGTACATGGAAAGCAAATCATCAACACATGATGGACTAAGGTAGATATCATGTTAATTTTATGGGACCTAGGAACAAAATAATTCTAGTAAGTGTACAAAACTGTGAACATAAGTTTATGATAAACACTAGTAATAAACAAAACCATCTTTACATTCAACAAGAACGCCCAGGAAGGCCAAAGTACAATCATTCTCCACTTCCATAGTGAATTGCAAAGATGGATGAAGGGAATTGAGTTGGGTGTGAAAAGCCAAAGTGTTGTTGATAGAATCAAAGTTGGAGAATGTGTTATTGACATAATGCATAGGGGTTTACAAACAGAAAGCTCTTGTAGAAACCAAACCAAAACGTTACCTAATACCAGATGCAGGGGACTGTACATCAAGACCCCATCGATTTGGGCTAACATAATATTATTGAAACTAAATTCAATTCCCTCTGTTGCTAAATGCAACAATATGGTATATATTTTATTTTTGTCTATTCTTGTTCATATATATGAAAAAGAATAGACAAAAAATAAAATATATATATATATATATATATATATATATATATATATATGACACTGGTAAAAAGGAAGGGTTAATTTAAAAGATAAACTGGAACAGATGAAAATGGTTAAAAGTACTGAATAATATATAAACTGAAAGAAAGAAGAAAAGATCAGAGGTCAGGTGGAAGGTTTTATACTTTTTGAAAGAATTCATAGGTTGATGTGAAAATTAAATTAATTATCTATTACAAAAAAATTAAAACAGCTAATCTTACCATAAAAAAATAACAAGACACCTGCAAAATCAAAACTACAAAGAACCAACATTATTTACGAGTTCCAATGCCCTTTAAGGAATTGTGTTCCAGATCAAAATAATTACAAATTCTTAAATAATTAGACAACTCACATTACACCTATCTGACAATAGCACCATTAGAACTTATTTAAACACACGAACCTATCAGACTCCATCTGAAACATACTAATAGAAAATACAAGCATGATAACCTCATCCACATGCAAAAAAAAAAAAAAGATTAAAAATAATGGAAGCCTTAATAATAAAAAAAGAAAAAGCCAACACTCAATGAAATTAACTATGAACATGGCCATAATATGCTGACCATGTTTGGAAAATAAAAAATTCTTATAACTCTAGATACATAAATAAAACAATCCATACATTCAGTTAAAAGTAAAAATAAAATCATCTTTGATAATGTCTAAAAGTATAGCTGAAAGTGCCTGGAAATGCAGAATTTTTAATCAGTTTTTACACACTTTGTGTCCAGAAAGGACAACACTTGTACAAAGACAAGAAAATTAAATAAAAAGCTTAATCATAGTACCTTGTCAGTTGTCTTTAGTGAAATGTGTGTTTGTGTATATATATGTCTATTCTTGTTCATATATGCATATATATTTTTTGTCTAGTCTTGTTTATATATAGTTTTTTGTCTGTTCTTGTTCATATATATTTTTGTCTACTCTTATTCATATATATATATATATATATTTAATTATTTTTTAAAAATATGATTCCATCGCTACATAAGAGTTCTCGTGTTTCAAAAACAGAAGCTAAAAAACCTGCTCTGTTTCATCAAGTGAATTTTGGAATAACTAATCTTGAAATTTATAAAACTTTATAAGCATATGCATTGTAATATTAATTACATGGAAATGGTGAAACCAATTATTTTAATAAGGGGCATAAGGGTTAACATATTATATCAACATATTAGTTACTTTCGGAAAAAGGTTAAGTTAAGGTAGGGTTGGGGCGTCTATTTCCAAGCGAATGATGACATCAGTTTGACGCATATTGTTCTGGTCTGTTTCAACAACAGAGAGCTGTTGGCATTATGTTATGCCGTTAAATTTGTATTTGTATACATTAAGATTTTTTTTTATAAGAGGGTTGTATGTATATAAACATGTCGTATTGAACTACAATTTGTTTTTTGATGACTTCATAAAGGTTTTTTTTTATCTTATGATTAGGTTGAGCTTTTAAACCTTTTCCTTTAATTGAAATTGTTTATAGACTATGAAATTTTAAAATTTTTAAGCTAATTAAGGTGAAAATTTGTTGATGTCAGCAAAAAACCATTAACTCATGTCTATGATTTTATATATATATATATATATATATTTGTCTATTCTTATATATATATATATATATATATTTATATATATATATATTTGTCTATTCTTATATATATATATATTTGTCTATTCTTATATATATATATATTTGTCTATTCTTATATATATATATATATATATATATATATATATATATATATATATATATATATATATATATACATTTTTTGTCTATTCTTATATATATATATATATATATATATATATATATGTTGATTACAAATATAATTCTCTTTTCTTTCGTTGAGATAGTCACAAAGGTCATGTGATGTCTAGTAAATGACTTCATGATGATGAAGAGCAGTTGTGATGAAGGACATCCCTAGCTCTCAATGGTAGGTCTTACAGGAAAAACCACATGGCCTAAGTTTGTAGAGAAAATGCCATAATTCCAGTTTTCACTTTGTGAAATATAACACAGCGTTTATTGTTGCATATAATTTATCTACACACATATATATGTATATATCTAATTTTGTGTATGACGTAGTATTATAAACTCTTTGAGAACTAAGTGTGTTTGTCATTCTTTTTCTATTCAGCTATGACACTATGTCTGCGAAATATCGGTATTGTTATATCATGGATATAACAATGCGCCTAATGGGAGAATAAATCTTTCTTCTAAGTACTCTCATTACACACACAGACACATATATATATAAGTTATGAAGAACTTGGTAATCCGTATGGGTAATCCCAAGGAGGATGAAATATATCACACCCCTGTTAAATTACAAAAACATACACTACCCATCAATTTTAATTTCATTTTTCATTTCATTACATTTTGTTGTTGGAAGTGCTATCTGATGATTCAGCATCCTTTTAACAGGACTCTGGTGAAATAAATTATTATAATGGTTCCTTAAAGTGGTCTGTTTTTTCTTTTTATATATATATATATATATATATATATATATATATATATATATATATATATATATATATACTAAGGTAATGGACACATTTATCAATCCAACAGATTTTTAACACTAAAATGCTATTTTTAGTGGATAGTGTCGGGGTGCATATATTTTTTCTTTAATGAGGTTTCTGGAACATTCAGTCTGGTTGTTGACGAAAATAAATATATATTTTAACAAATAAATGGATGTCTACTTAAATATGAGTATCCACTAAAAATAACATTTATATATATATATATATATATATATATATATTGATAATGTTTCATTAAATAATATAGGCAAGTTTTGTCTATTTATTTTATGTAAATTCTTTTCATATCGTCTGATAAGCTTAATAACATTATCATTAAAAAAGAAGAAAGAAAAACATTATTGATACATATTTTTAATCCAATCTAAGGATGAAATATTATCAAAGATGACAATTACATTACAATATATTAAACAATACACGGACAAAACAATAATGATAGTCTGTTTTTTTCATGGAAGATTTCAAGCAACGTTTATATATATATATATATATATATATATATATATATGATAAAAACAGACCACTCCTTCCATGTAATTTATTTAACCCTTTTAAAAGACTGTGGATCATCAAATTTAAAACCTAAAGTAATGATGATCCTTAAAAAGGGATGGTCTGTTTTATTTAAATGGAACCTTTGGTCTCTTTTTTATTTAAATTATTTGCTCTGGATTTACATTGAGATTCTGGGTTTTATCCTCCTTAGGTTTACCCATACGGATACCTAGTTTTTCATAAACTATATATATATATATATATATATATATATATATATATATATAGGCCAATAGAGATAGCAGAGGTAGAATTGAGAGAGAGAACATACACATGCGTGTGTATGCAAAAACACAGGAAGTAAAAGTGTAAAGCAGAAGGTTCTAAGGTCAAAAGCCATTTCCAAAAATCTTACCAGGAGGCCAATCATCATTTTTTAGGGTAACCCCTTCTTGTTCAAGCCCCCTTCCACAACTCCATCATATATAATTGATCTTGAGAGATTTAAGCAATCCTGAAAAGTAAGCAACACTTACCCATTCGTCTTCATCTGCCCCCATGCCTTCACTACTGATGCCACTGGACCCACTTTGATTGCCATCAGTTGCTGCGGATGCCTCTGCAGTGTCTGACAATTTCAACTGCATTATTTTGTATGTCCAACCATCACCAACTTGGTCCCCTCCACTGTAGTTGCCAACTGTCTGTGGTTCCAGTCCTGGATCAATCCGCGTAAAACTTTCTGATGAAACAAAGATCGCAAACAGTTAAGATTCTATTTTTGTTTTGTATATAAATGCACAATGCAAAATATTTAATAATAATAATAATAATACTAAGACTGTAGGATACTTTTTTGGTGGTTTTGAATATAAGTGCACAATCATCGTCGGCTTTATCTCGTATCCAAGAATTTAATTTCTTCTTTGCTGATTGCTTCCCTGATGATGATGGTGTTGATTAAATTCACTGCTAACGTGCAGGTTCAGGACTAGAAACTTCCAGTTTCACCAAAACCTGCAGCCCCTCCTACGTTCCTTACTGCCATTTAGCTTTGCAAGGGTTGGTTGGAAATGGAAAAAAAAATCAGAGTAGAAGAAAGTGCTGATGGTATGTATTTGATAGTTCTTCTACCGTTGGGGGTTTTGGAGTTGGTTGCACTTAGGCTGGGACCTTGTCTTGAACCTTGCTGCCAAGAGTGACCCTATCAGGAGTTTAGAACTCCCAACGGCATCATTATCAGAGTCATCCATCCACCATGACAAGGAGCGACCATCAGAGGTATTCACATAGAAATGCAAAATATTTAATAATAATAATAATAATAATAATAATAATAATAATAATAATAATAAGAGATAAGTTTGTTGATGTGTTCAGAATATAAAAACCTAAACATGTGATACTTTGAAAATAAAAGATATCAGATATAGTTATCAAAAACAATTTTGCCATTGAACGTAAGGAATACTGACAGTAAAAATGAAAAGATATTTGAAGTATAAAATATAATAATTTAGAAAGGAAACACTTGTGTCATGAAACTGAAACTAAAAAGGTCAATGGAAAAAAAAAATGGCAATTTTTATTTGCTTTTTGTGAGATTATAAACACATATGCAAATGTAAAATGTGTGAAATTGAAAAAAAAAAGAAAACACGTTTTAATACCCCCCCCCTAAAAAACACTAATGTGAAATCCCAAAACAAAGTCAATGTATTCATGGTATATAAGTAAGGCAATACCAAGTAAAAGGTTTTACAGTTTTTATCACTTGTCTTGCTGATGTAGTGATATCAGTGTCAGCTGATATTTCATCAAATGAAAACATCTGAAACCATTTTGGCAGGAAGGGAGACAAGCATGCTACTACTACTGCATAGAACACATCCATTAAGCTGAGGAGCAGGAGTCTAATAGACATTTTTTTAGCTAAGGATAGCGAGGTTTGCTAGGACCACAAGTGTCAGCATAGTTAACAAAGAAGACTGTGTTATATAGTGATATCAGTGTCAGCCAATATCTTGTTAAATAAAAATGTCTGAAAGATGTTACAGAAATTGTTTCAACAGTTATTGCCTTGATGATTATCAGCTAAGTGAAGTGGATCTCATGAGAACCATGTCAAATGACCTTGACAAAGAAGGTCACTGAATGGAACAAGACCATGGGTTCTTGATAAATTACTTTTTTAGACAAAGATGACAAGACAAAGAATGCTGTTTTTTAAGACAGTGGTCACTAGCAGCTGAAGACAGAGAAACCCACAGAAAGCGGACAGGAAGAGACAAGAGACTGCTCACCATGGTGTAAAAAAAGGAAGACACACTTGTTAGACTGTTCACCCTTTCACCTCTGCCTCACTCGTCTACAGCAGAAGGTTACAACTGAATAAAATTTGCTTACTGCTACAATTGGCTCATGGTTTTATTTTGTGAGTGACTATCAGGCCAAAAAGTTATTTTTGTAAGCCACAAGTGTTAAACTGGAAGAAGCTGCATCCTTAGAATGAACCTGGCATTTGGTCTGAGCTTTAACCACTACACTAACTGGTGAAGAGACTTGTTGACTCATTGTGTTGAAACAGTTTTTGCCTTTTTTTATAATTTTCACTTTTTATAGATCCTTTTGTATTAATGATGGTGTCCTCCAGGGTTCTATCCCTCGTCCTACTTTGTTGTTAATTTTCATCAATGACCTTCTTGATTGCATTAGCACTGAATTTGGTATCTATGCTGATGACTCAACCATTTTCTTCTGTCTCAATAGTAAGTCTGAGCAGATTGATAAGGTTAAATTGGTGGCTGATCTCAAAAAAGTCTGTTGTCAATTGGGACAAAGGATAGCTTTTTAATTCTAATGCATCCATAACAAAATTGCTTATTATTAATGACTAGCAGTAGAGCCCGGTGTTGCCCGGGGATGTAACAGTAAGAGATAGATCAAGTATCGACCATCATAAAGACTGAAAAATAAAATTGACAAACATTATTGTTTAAGGTTGACGGACACGCATGTCTTAATTATTTTTTTTTTTTTTTTTTACACGAATTGGTCAAACCCAAACTCAAACAAAAACATTGTTTTCAATCGTTATGAGTCTACCAATTGAATAGAATTTTATTATAAACAATTGTCTTGTAAATGGAATTTTTAAAGCATTCTGAATGTAAAAATAAAGAAAAAAATGTGCAAGACAATAAGAAACACTACCTGCCAAAAAAAGTGAAGTTTTGTTGAAATCGGTTGAAAAATGTAGGTAGCCTTTTTCTGTAATCTTTTACAATTTATGATTTTTACTTATTGAATACAGTAAAAAAAAAATTGCATAATTAGAATTCTGATTTGAATATATTTTCCACTCGTTGTTTCTAATACAAAAAATATTAACTTTATTTGGGTTTATTAATTTATTACAAGTACTGTGTTCTTTCCTTAATAATTATCATCTTCGAAATATTGTTGTTTTTTGTCTATCAGATTTCTTACGTCGGCATTTTTAAATTATTTCTTTTGAATATTGAATTAATTTCAAATAGAACCAATGCCTTATTGATCTGCCTTGTAACAAATTGCAAAGGGAATTGTAAAGATGGCCCTAAAGTACGTGGAATTATCTTTCCCTAAAGATAAAGAATTATCCGATTTTTCAATTCGTACAATCAGTAGAGATCGTTAGATTACTGTTTAGGTTGACGGACACGCATCTTTTTTTTTTTTTACGAATTGGTCAAACCCAAACTCAAACAAAAACATTGTTTTCAATCGTTATGATGAGTCCCCCGATTGAATAAAATTAGAATTTTATTATAAACAATTGTCTTATAAATGGAATTTTTAAAGCATTCTGAATGTATAAATAAAGAAAAAAAGTGTGCAAGACAATAAGAAACACTACCTGCCAAAAAAAAAAAAATTGGATGTTTGTTTTATCAAAAAAATGTAAGAAATCCGATCCCATATATAAAGGAACACACACACACACAAACAACGTGGGTTTTTTAACCTAAGTCACTCCACGGAATCGCTAAAACATAGAGCATAGTCTGATGAAAAAGACGCCAAAGTTTATGAAAACAAAATTTTATCGTCAAAATGCTTATGTTTTTATGAAGAGGATAGACTAAATTTTTTTTTAATTATCTTTTAAAATTTTTTCATCTTTTTAGAATATTCTAAATTTTGATTTAAAAAACCTTGTTTCTCTTTGTCGCAACAAGGGGTAGTAAATAACATAGATAATTTTTAGTGCGTTTTTTTGTATTTACACACATTAATTTGGAAAATCTTGCAAAAATAAAAATAATTGTCAGATGTTAATGAAACTTTCAGAAACTTTTCAAAGATGATCGAAATTATTATATGTTTTTTTTTATTAAAGTCATGGCAGAAATAATTTTTTTTATATTTATTATCACCCCCATAACTAATTTTATGAAAAACTCTAGAAATTCAAGACCATCGGTTTTAGTGATTACAATAGTTAAAAGCACAAGGCTTTGAAGAATGCAAATCATGTTTTTTTTTTTTTATTTGGCCAACGTACCTGAAAATCAGCTGTGAATTGTAACATACAAAACTCAATAAAACAAATATATTATTTAGTTTCAAATTCTTTTATTTGTTTTAATTTGTTTTTATGAATATGGACAATATTTTCTGAAAGCAAAACATTTTTTCAATGAAAATTGAATTTTTAATACAATTATTTCTTATTTCTTTAATTTTAAAAAGATTTTTAAAAATTTTTTAAATTGAATTTTTAAAAATATTTTAACATTAGTTAAAAGAAACATCAACCTTTCAAAATGTCCGTGTGAGATTGTCATTGTCTTGCGCTTTGAAAATTGTATAATTTGGACCAATCAGATTAGCCATGGTAATTAAGAAATGTAATTTTTGTGTTTATAGTCATACAGTAATTATCAAGTATGGAAGACCAACCAGAATACAATTTAGTTGCATTATTTGAGTTCAGCATTGTTCTCCGCTGTTAAGCCCTTTACGTTTGCGAAACACGTATGGAGAAGTTAATTTGAGTTTTCAATTTCAACTGAGAAGTGTACCTACAAGTAACAGTATCATCTTATGAAATTTAACTACTGCTAAACTTTAATTTATATGATCTTATTTTTATATTAATCTCAGTTATGACATTTTTCCATAAATGAAATATCAAAATTAATAATAAAATGAATGGAAATACAAATAACAGTAGAATGTAATAGATGTACATAAAATTATAGTATTTTATGTACACTTCTGATAAAATTTCATAAGAAAGGTACCTAAATTAATTAGATACCTTTTTCTTATGAAATTTAATCTCACTATTAACAGTCTTATTTTTTAATTTCTTTATATTTTCCATAAAGCATCGTAAATGTAAAAATGAAAGCTAAGTACAAAAAAAAAAAAAAAAAATTAGAGCGCTGAAAGTTTTCCTTAAAAGTAACGAGGTAAATAATTTGTTCACTTAAATAATTTCACTTCCTTCCATCTGTAGAAAGAATTATCCTCCCGTAAGTTATCTAAACGTCATGAATGTGCCTTTCGTCAATTGTCAAGCGACGCGAAAGGTTATGACCTGCTTTGTTTTATTTTCAAATTACATTTTTTTTTCAGAAGCTAAGTTAAGCTTGGTTCAAAATATTTTAAATAAACAGTATAATTTCTGTTTTATTAAAATCAGTTTTTGAAAAAATGATAATTGATTTTTAAAAGAATATCAAAGTCAGATTTTAATCTTTTTATCAAATCGAAAAAAAATGATTGGAAATGATTGATTATCTGTCCTTTTTTATGACCAAAAAAAAAATACAATTTTTTTTCATGAAAATTTCAGACGTGCTAGGAACGATTAAAAAATGTAAAAAAATAAATACCAAAAAATACTTTGATCTTTCCTCTTTAACAATAATATGAACATTAGACGATAAAATTTTGTTTTCGTCAAGTTCGGCTTTTTTCATCATGCTATGCTCTTTTGTTTACTTTTTCGTGGGTGAGTTGTCCCCCTTTCATTCTCATGATGTGTCTTAATCGTGTTTTCAAATTGATTTTGTTAAAAAAACAATTGCGTTTTTCCCATTTTCGGCACCGTTAGAACCACCACAAGGTAATTTTATGTAGTCCCGTGAAGTTTTGTTGAAATCGGCTAAAAAATGTAGGAAATTCGATCCAATATATAAACGTTACAGACACACACACACACACAATCTGTGTTTTATAATAAGTAAGATCCAAGAGACTCTTATAGCTGATGCTAAGCTCCAGGACAGTGACTCATTGCGCCTTTTTTTGGGGGGGCTAACATTCTCAGCTGACACGAAGTAGAAAGACTATATTGAATCCATTGCTAGGTCATCTGCTAAGAAAGTTACTTCTCTGTGTCATGCTAGACAATTTTTCTCTCCAAAATCTATCTTACAGATCTATAAGTCTACCATTTGTCCATGCCTTGAATATTGCTGCCATATATGGTCTGGCGCTCCTGCTTTATGTTTAGATTGGTTTGGTTTGTTTTACGACATATCAACCTCAATGGCTCATTTAATGCCGACAACTTTTTTTTTTTCCTGGTAATATTTTTGTTTTGTCAAAAGTCCATTTCTGTTAATATTTTTTTCTCAAAAACATATAGCTGGCAATATTATTTTTTCAAAAACGTGTAGCTGGCAACATTATTTTTTCAAAAACATATTGTCAGAGGCCTTGCTGTTGGACGTAGTTTATCGTCTTACCCAGGATGCGGATGTAGTTTATTGTCATACCCAGGACGCGCTTAGAGATTTGGGATAAAATCTAATGGTGAATCAGCAATATTATTGGTCCTGACTTGGCATTTCAGCATCAGTCACTTTCCCATTGCCATAAAGTTGCTATTCTATAAATACTTTCATGGTAATTGTTTAGATGATCTCTTTAGTATTGTACCAAGACTTTATGAACTTAAGCGCAGTACTAGATTAACAACAAGGACCCATTGGTTTACAGTTGAATTGGGTAGATGTAACAGTAAGATCTATGCTAACAGTTTCTTTTCTCGCACTTCTCGCTTGTAGAACTCTCTTCTGGCTCCATGCTTTCCAGTCAAATTTAATCTTCAAAAATTTTAATGCAATGTCACTCATTATCTACTGTCTTCCTGATTATTCTTCTATTGTTCATTAATAATGCTTCTGTTTTCTAATTTTCTCACACCTTGTAACCCCTTATGTTTTAGTGGCATACAGTTTGATTAAAAATAAAATACCAGATTTCATGGAGGGGTAAAGGTATTAATAATATAGATAGGAATATTTATAAGGACAAAGCCAGCAGTAGTAGGAGAATAATAATAATTTAATCTGTAACTGAGAGAAGAGGTAATTTTGTTTATTTCTTACCAATAAAAGGGCAGTCACCAGCAGTCCTCATACGAATGGTTTCTCCATCTTGTATTTCTATCTTGTCTACATTACTTTCCTCCATCCAGAAAGACACCATGGAGTTGTTTTGCTCAATCATTGGTTGGCTGAGAATGGTCAGAACATCTAGTTCTTCTTTACAGATCAATGGAATCACTTGCGATGCACTCATGCAATCTGTTTGACCTTTTGGTGCCACTTCTGGAAAACAACAACATAAAACAGCAAATTTAAAGATCAATAATCAATCATGTGCTCGATTCGTGCAAATGGATCAAGATGCTTTGCCTATTTTCTTTTTACTATCAAATTAAGTTTTTCTTGTAAAGGATTTCTGGTTTAAGAATTACCAAAAAAATTGTAAAGTTGTACCCCTTTTTCATGCAGTCTATAACTGATCTGACTTCAAGTTTACTTCATGGTTACCATATGATCACCAAAGTTAAGCAACATTCAGCCTGGTCAGTACCTAGATGCATTACTGTTTGTGAATACCAGGTGGTGTAAACTTGGATGTGTGGGTTGTATAATGGCCCAGGGTGGGGGTGGGGAGGTACTAATTGGAGGTCCCAGGTAGAGCTTTGTGACGCTCACTATCTTACCAACATTTGCTTTATTTCTGCTTACATTTATATATGTTATAAATTAAGCTAAGCACAACAGAGTATTAAGGGATTGAACTTTTTTTTGCGGATTTTGATGTCATTCTGGGGTCGTTTTTCCATCCAAATCTGTGAATCTCATTTATCTTACACTATTTTTTATCCATAAAAAAATCTCAAATTGACATTAAAAATTGCCAAAAAGCATTATTGTGTCCTTAAAGAAGGTTACAAATCAACAAAAGTGGTACTCGAGTGAAAGGAACAGCAACTAATGCATAGATGAAAGAAAGAGAGGTTTATTGTAAAAGAGAATAAACTACTAAAAGACAGGGAATCAGTTAGTAAGCTAGTAACTCCTGAAGCAAGTCTGCCAGGTATATCCTATACACACATATATATATATATATATATATATATATATATATATCTACTGATATAGTCAGTCCACAATAGGCAATAGGGAGAGTAGGACATTCCATTACAACATTGATATAGTTAAGATAGAATGATCTATTATGACATGTCTCTAATTTGTATTTAGATTCATTGTATTTATTTTAAATTTTTCTACTTGAATTATTCACTTATATTGCATATCATCCATTATTGCATATAATTAGTTTACAATAAAATTTGTATTTTACATGAATACTATCTTATGAAAAATAAGATGTAGTAAAGTGGGGGGGGGATCCCATATCATCGACTTGATGCACTGGCCCTGGTTATATGCAAATCCCTCAGTAGAGAGATTGTTCTAAGTGGAAATTCAGGCAAAGATGTTAAAGAGGAGTCAAAAGTAGAACTGGAAGAGAATTTACAAACAAAGCATTCTACTTTATTTGTAGAAGATGATACTTCAAATTTACCCTTATTTAACACTATTACACAGCCGCCAATATTCCTGAAAACCAAATTTGTTAGAGGCTATTCAGCACCTCATTCTGTCAGCAAACAAAGACTTTGCCACATTGAGGACATGTTTACATGTATTACAAGTGGACACAAAGAGGGTATCTGTTGTGATCAGAATTATCATGCAGGTACAGCTGGAAAAAGTAACCCGTGTGAGCAAACAGACAAGTGTGAATCAAGGAGAGGATTGTGGCATTTTTTCTTACTATCAGAGATTTTGGTAACATTTTTATTTATACCCTTTTTTTTTTATAGTACCCAGTGCTCCAATTATTATAGGTATAACAGTCATTTTAAGGTGCCACATTTTTTAAAATTTCTAGATTGTAGTATTTACTTTTTTTGTCATTCTTTAAATATATTTTTATCTGATGGCAACGTCTATCTCAGAGAAGACAAATTTGTTGTTTATAGTCTTTGATCCGTTAGCTTAGTTATGTCTTGTCCGTTAGCTTTTACGAGGTCTGATCCAAAAAGCATTGGGATTAGTGCTATTAAAAGAAAACTATAACACATATCAATTCGGTATTTAATCAAAACTTCTTCAAAGCCTATTGATAGAAGCATTTCTGGAACTCCTTTTTTGGGATAGTGAGCAACTGTTTTGTCACATTCTCTTGAATTTCCTCGACATCTTAAAATCTCATTCCTTCCAAGTGGAATTTGATTTTTGAAGAGGAAAAAGTTGCAAGTGGTGAAATCTAGGGAATATGGTGGTTGTTGGTCCTGAGGAATGTTGTGCTTAGCCAAAAACTGCTGCACAAGACATTATCATGGATGAAACATCTGTAGTATAGTAGAGGACCATAATCTAAACACTTTCTTTCCAAAGACTGCTATAAATAGTGGAAGTGAGGGAAAACATTATAACTTGGTGTGCATGCATGACAGATTTCAACGTCAATCTGTGACAAGCAGCTTCACTCTGCATACTTTAGTTCCACTACCATGACAGTCACAACACTTTTTGATCAGACCTTGTATCTGTCTATTAGTATGAATGGCAAAATCTTAAAGAAGAATGACCATCTTTCTTTGACTGTTTTACAATGATATTCATACCACTTTTCAGCATTTGTCACACTGCAATTCTGACATATCTTCCAGTGAATATACTGCCCAATATTATGCTATCTTATTACATGGAAAAGAATTTACAAACAAAGAAAATGATAACACCTCAAATTGAGTGAAGGGAGGAGTGATAGAGGAGCTGCCTTTATTTAACACGCAGCTGCTAGTATTCATGAGAACCAAATTTGTTAGAAGCTATACAGTTCCTCATACTGTCAGCGAAAAAAGACTTAGTCACATTAAAGATATGTTTACAAATATTACAAGCAGACACAAAGCAGGGGTCTGTTTTGTTCAGAACTACTACATTGATACAGCCAGAAAAAAGTGATCACTGTGGGCTATACCAATTAAAGAGCCAAGTGTGAATCAAGTGTTTTTTTTTCTTTTTTTTTTAATATCAGGGATTTTGTAAATGTTCTTGCTTGTACTTATTTTTATGACTGTACAGTGTTCTGGTTATTACTGGCATAACAGTTGTTTTAAGGTGCTATATTTTGTTTAGTTTCAAGATCCTTATAGTTACTTTAATGGATATATTTTTATCTGTCATATTTGTAGTCCTATGTCTTGTCTGTTAGCTCTTATATGTCTATCGGTGTGAATAACAAAGTCTGAAAGGAGAATGACCTTGTGGCTTTCTTTAACCATTGCCGAATGATGTTCATACCATTTTTTTTAGCATTTGGCACACTGTAATTCCGGCATATCTTCCAATGAATATACGCCCCAGTCTTATTGTGTTATCTTATTTTTACTATTATTATTATTATTATTATTGTTGTTACTACTACCACCCCTTTATTTAAAATATCAGGAAGAAGACTCACTGTAGGAAGAATTAAGAAATCCTGTAGAGACTTTCTTTGTTTCCCCGAAGTTTGGCTCAATTTCTTTCCCAGAACTGTCATATTTGCGTCGATGGGCCTTGCTTATGATGATGTGCAACACAATGTATCGAAACTGGAAAATGAAAACATTTTAACAAATGTAAAGAAGCCTTCAAATTTTTGCTTCAAGAAACTTGCAATGTTTTAAGAAGTTAAAAAAAAAAATATATATATATATATATATATATATATATATATATATATATATATATATATATATATATGCATTCCAACATGGGTTAAAATTAAATACTTTGTTGTGGCTTAAAATAACAAAAAGGATTTCAAGAGACAAAAATAGATATAGTTTAAGGAGATAAAACTGTATTTAAATGTTTTATGATACACAAAGATGTGTTTAGGGGTTTTTTGTATTTTAACCACTTGGTACCTGTCATCAAGCTTACATTTTTGACACAAACCGGATGTTGACCACTCAATGACCCAAAGCAGACCGTGTAAATACATTTTCTGTGTATCGACACCACACATACATCTGCTTTAACCAAAACAAAATGAACAATATATTATGACCAGTTAGAGTCACTCCTTCTGAAAAACCAAAACCTTAATTTCAAGCCAACTAAAAACTATATATACCCAAATTCAAACAAACCTGACACAGACCAGCATTTGATGACAACACTGACACACTAAGAGACGGAGACATGCCACTGATGACAACCACTACCAATGTCCATTTGGCTTCTAATTTTCCTACTCTTTTTCTTATCAACAGCAACAGATAGAAGTTACTGGTTTTTGTATATATGTAAACAAATTATACATTTATTTACACTTACTCAATGTCCACTTTTGTTTGACACTTGCCAAGGCAGAAAAAGAATTAACCTCGGCAACAGTAACAACAGGTTAGCCATTTCCACCTCTGCAACATGCCCATTGTTTCACTAACTACCAACTAGGTTGCCTATCAGGATGCTCATTGTAAGGATTTTGGTTGCACATATATTAGGGGATAGACACAAGGTACTACTCTGTGATTTACATTGGATCTGGAATAATTAGGCCTCATCCATTGTCTGGTAGGAAGGATCTTTTTGCATGAAACCATTACAGTTCAATGCCAGAAATCTGGTCTGTTAGATTCTGCCATTGATCACATCTAATATCCAAGAATTTGGGGGCCCTCATAGAAAGCAGCATTCCCATGCAGTGCTAAGAAAACACTCAGTGCAATTGTTCCATTTGCAACAACATATCTTTGTGAAAAACCCTGGGGTCATGACAGATTCGTCAAACAAGCAATTGACCCTAAGTTGTGATTTATTATAATTTTTTTTTTTTTTTTTTTTAAGAAGATGGGTTGTCATGTTGCCTGAAAACTGCAAAGATCGGTGTATGCCTGCAAAGAGATGAAGTTGGGGAAAGATTCACTCGGACACCCCCAAAATAACAGTAGTTACTCTTTGATAAAAGAAGCTACCTTTATTTGTCTGACAGAACTTCTGGGAGGCACTGGTGTATGTGATATTGGGGTTTCACATATTTACCAATGGACACTGTACACCTTGGCAGTATTCACCGATGCTGGGAATTGAACCTTGGTCACTGTGGTGAGAGAGCATAGAATCCTAACTACTAGACCACTTGAGAAGTCTTCTTTTATATAAGTGGTTACACTGCCTAAACAATACTTTGTTCAATCTGCAATGTGCCCATTTAAAAATTTAAATAAACAATAGAGGGTTCACTTCAGTCACTGATAGTGTCATTTAACCAATTCTAATTCAATTAAGTAGTTGACTTAATTACTAAGAAATAAGTCTAAGTCACACTCCGACCAAATTTCAAAAAGCATCTTGATATTCAGCATGACAAATGTTTTGCTCTGAGCAAAAAGGAACCAAACATTTCAAATATAATTGCAAAGGCAAAAGGACAAAAGTCTCATTAATAATTAAAATGATTTGACATTTTTCATATTTTCTAAAAATTTCTGTTAATTAATCACCTGAGGGAACCCATTCTGGCTTCCATCAGTATGGCTGATGCTAACCTTCAGGAGAGGGACTCATTGTGCCTCCTTGGGTTAATATTCTCGGCTGACATGAAATGCATTGCTAGTTCAGCTGATAAGAAAGTTGGTTCACTGTGTTGTTCTATACAATTTTTCACTCCATAATCTCTGTTACATATCTATAAGTCTACCATTCATCCACGCCTCAATGGAGAGATGATTATCAATGCAGTGTACCCTAGCAATTAGGCCATGGGATACCGTCACCGTGAAGCAAGAAAAAAAATCTTTAGCTGAAGTGTGTCCTATCAGTTAGGACATGGGATACCGTCACCATAAAGCAAGAAAAAAAATCTTTAGCTGAAGTGTGTCCTATCAATTAGGGTATGGGTTGTAGCCACTGTGAAGAAAGAAAACACTTCTTTAGCTGAAGTGTATCCTGTCAATAAGGACTGGAGGTGCAGTCACTGTGGAAAAAAAAAACACTTCCGTAGATGAAGTGTCCTACCAATTAGGCTATGGGATACCATCACCCTTAAAGAAGAAATCACTTACCTATTTAAGGAATGGGCACTTCCCATTGAGACCTTTTGAATTCTATATCTGTGAACTTGTTTTTTTATACTAGAAATGTAAATGTAATTTTTCAAAAATTAGACTGATTTTATTTGATATTATTTCTTATTACTAAAGAAAATTTATGAAAAAAATGGTCTTCTGTGGTGTAACATATCCATTGCTAGGTGTACTGTTAAGAAAGTTGATTCACTGTGTCATGTTAGACAATTTTCTCTCTTAAATCTATATAACATATCTATAAGTCTACCATTCTTCCATGCTTCGAATACTGCTGCCACATATGGTCTGGTACTCTTGTTTTATATTTAGAGATTCAAAATAAAGTCCAAAGACAAATCAGCAATATTATTGGTCCTGACCTGGCATCTCAGCTTCAGTTACTTTCCCACCACCTTATAGAGTTGCTTTCCTATCTCTTTTCTATAAATACTTTCATGGTAATTGTTCTTCACTATGGTACATAGATTTTACAAATTTAAGCATAGTACTAGATTGTCAGTTAGGTTATGTCATTTTACATTTGAAATGGCAAGATATAATTGTTAGTTCTATGCTAAAAGTTTCTTCTCTCACAGTTCTTGTTTGTGTAACTCTCTTCCAGCTTCTTGCTTTCCTGTCAAGTTTGATCTTCAAAAACTTAAATGCAATGTCAACTGTTATCTACTGTCTTCCTGATTACTCTTCTATTGTTCTTAATTATCAAAAATGCTTCCGTTTTTCGTTCTCTCACACCCAATAACCCATGCACCTTAGTGGCATTACTACCTTACATCAATTTTATATATATATATATATATACACACACAAAATTAATATAAGTAAAAGTTTGTTACTTAGCTGATTGATATTACCTTCAGGATCTCGACTCCAGAGGTGGACCTGTCCGTCCAATCTTATATAGGCTGAGGCAAAAGTTGTTTACGATAGGGATAATTTATTAAAACTATAATTACAGATGAACATTTTATTTACTAGTTATTTGTTATACGTTTTGTTCAAAATGTCCTCCTTTTTCAAAAGACATTTCAATTCTGTGCCTGCCTGATTCATTAACATGTCAGGGTGTTTCCTCTGTCATTTTACTGCATTCATATTTAATTCTTTCTTTAAGTTCCTCAATATTTCTTGGTCGCAGCTGATAAACAACTAATTTCAAATCGGCCCAGAGCACAAAAATCCAAGGGTGTGAAGTCTGGTGACTTTGGTGGCCACTCAAAAGGACCTCTTCAACCCATCCATTAACCCCTATGGTGTGCAACTTTTGCCTCACCCTGTATACATCTAACTATAGAAGTGCACGACAAACATTTTTTGATAATTAAAGCAACAAAGACAATATATTAAAATTGCTACACTTGCAAGATCCAAATAATTTGTTGGGAAATGTATAATAAATTTGCAATGTAAAATGTATTGCAAGTAATTTTTCATTTATAATGCAGTTTTATTTCATTACAACAGACCAATTGTCTTACCTTATTCTTATCTTTGTCTGTAATGGCAAATCGAGATCGCCTCAGCAGTGTACCTTCAAGCAGGAAACCATGGCCACTAAAAAAAAAAAAAAAAAAATCTATGTACAAACATTGAGAAAAAGTAGAAATTTATCACTGGTTTTCTGTTTAGGATTGGGTTTCTCCATTTCTTCTAAAGTCTTCTCATTCTCTTTCACTCCTAGTAACTCCTTGCATCTTAGTTGTATTATCACCTTGCTAGGGGTGAATTGATAAAAAAACAAAAAAACAACAACAACTGTAGAACTGCTTTTAGGAAAGAATATTTAAAACTTTACTCAAGTGAACATTGAGCTGAAAAAATTGGTCATAAGTTGAACGCCACATAGAAGATATTTCAGAACCACCAAAGCAACCTTCCTTGGACCCTATATGTATTAGTGTCAAGAGAATTCTGGATAATCACTCTCACATGGGTTCATCCACAGCTGTTCAAATCTATTGTGTTTTTGTTTTGTTTTACAAACATAGTACCTGAACTCCCATGTCTAACCAATGTTGTATAGCTTTGAGTGGTTAGGTTTCATGTTCAGAGTTGTTGCTCTTCTAGACTTCTGGTTGACCACAGCTGGAGAGTCCAGTCTACCCTTTTATTTTATCCATAGGCTGTGAAAAGAACAGATGGATTCAAATCTTTCCATAAGAGTATTTGTGTAAAAGCAAGTGTAATAAACCTGAGTGGAATTAGAACATGGCTTACCAAGATGTTTTGTCCTGAGCTTCTGACCATTACATGACACGTGCCCTCTATTTTTAGAGAACTGAATATGATAGACATATAAGACACCATCTCAGTTCAGCTAATGTGGCAGTGTGCTAAATTATTTTTGTTTTTGTAATGACAACTGATTGAGTCAAAGTGATTGGTTCACATGAAAATTATTTAAAATTCATTAAATTAATGCCATTTCATAAAAGCAAAATTTTTGTCGAGATTAAATTTGTAGTGATGAGATGCTTATGCAAAAATTGTCAAAGTCTGAATTGTGTACTGTTTCAATATAGAGGCTTGTGTAGGAAAATAATTTTAAAAACTGCTGTGTACTAATGAAACAAAAAATCTTGACCTAAAATTGAGTGGATTTGAAACCTCATAAAAGCCTTGAGTTAGAAAAGAATCATTCACTGGACAAAAATCTCATATTTTGATGATATATCTGAAGTAAATAAGGTGTAAGAGTTATTTTTATTTTGTAATGACAAAAGTAAAAGAATATAAAATGACACTAGGGAAAATGATTCATCTAAAATAAAATAATGATGAATGTGTAAAATCTTTTATTTTGATGTCTGCGTCATATACAACACTTTATGAAATTAAACTGGACTAAGTTCTTCACAGCAATCTTGAGAATATGCAAAATCATAATCCCAATTTTTATAAGAAAATGTGATGCCAGACACATGACCTCCTGTAATTCTTTATAATAAAAGGTTCACATGATACCTAAACTTTTAGTCTGTTCTTGATAATCAGATTAATCCATCTATTTAAGAGTCATGATTTTATCTGTCTATATTTCTGAGATGAGGTATTGTAATTATTTACATGGTTCAAACTGTTGTCCTCATCTTTATTGTCATATTCATGTTTCTGCCATTGTACACTCAGGCCTTCTTCAGGTGATAAGAATTTCAAATATGGCCCAGTGGATAAAAGCGTTGGTTGGATCCAGTGATGGCCCAAAGTGTTGGGAGTTCAATACCTGGCTACTGCAGTGGTGAAAGCTGAGTTAAAGGGAGATAACTGAGACATCCGGAAGAGGCATGGCATGTGGATACAAATGAATGCACATATATCGACACAGGTTGACTAAGTTTGAAATAAGGTATTGGAATAATAGATTCCTCTCCTACTCAGTCTGAATGACACTTATCCTAGGCTGACCAATAAAATCAAAATTAGGTAATTGTAACATTTTATTGAACTTTTTGGAAATTATTCAATAACAAATAACATTTTTCTTTTTTGTATTTTGTAATACTAATAATATATATTATTGTAATGTGTCATTAAATTATACAAGCACAAATGAAAACTCACACAATTTCAATGAAATTTAAATGGACATGTGTCAGGAGGTTTAATTTCCCTTTTTTATCTGGTAACAACTCCTGGGTAACAGGAAAAGAGTATCCCTTTTGAAATCATTTTTATGACATTTTCTGTGAACTGAATATATTTACTAATAGATGCAGTATTTCAAATGAATAAATAATTTAGATTTTAAATTTGATCATCTTGCAACAGGTACCAAACTAGTTTTAATAAAAAAATAAGTTGCACTTATCCTGTATTAGTCATGCAACAATAACAATAGATTCTTAATACACTAGTCTGTTGGGATTTTTGGGTACCCTGGTGTACTAGTGAGCCAGCTAAAATGAGCTGACTCATTTTATAGTTCACCAATAGAAGGGTTAACCAATCAAAAGGCTCAAAATATTCAATGCGACATGTACAAAGGCGGGCATGTTCTTTTCCGAATATTCACTGGCAGCCTTTGATATTGAAAACTGAAGAATTACAGAACAGCTGCTGGTGGTATTGGTGATATAGGCGGATTCAGTAGAGTGTCTGATCCATGAGTATTAATCTTTAACGTTGTTTTATTGAACAGATTACGTACTGCACTGTATTTTATATTCATAGACTATGGTAAACATGGTTAACATATTGATAATTTTGGTAAAGCGAAACAACACAATTCAATGTTATATGGTTGATAGCAGCTTTTGATTTATTCAAAACTAGCTCAAAAGCTACACTTTGTGAAAACTTTTAAGCTAGCTCCTAGCTCCTGTGGAATGCTAATTGGGCTTCCAGTTCAAAACTTAAGGGACCTCTGGCCCAGCTTAGGAAACAGCCATCATAATTTTGAATTCCTTAATGCACTCCATGGAATTTCAAAACCTCACTTGAACTCTGATTCAGGCTATAAGTCCAATTCTGGCCAAAAGACAGATTAGGGAAAAATTTCCAGTTCTTCAAATGTCAAACTCTGTTGAACTTCAAGAACTCTCATTAGAAAACCTCTCGCTTTAACTGATTCCTTGGCATTTTGAAAATATAAAATTGATTTCCTCAATTCACAAAGTTTTGGAAATATTTTAAACTGAATTTAAAACAAAAAATTTTAAATTAAAAGTTTTTGCCTTTCTTTAAACTCAATATAAAGTAATATAAAGTAAAAACTTTTAAAATCACTAATTTTTTTTCAGTTATTTTAAAATTTGAATTTTTAACTGTTCCATCCTTATCTGGACACGAATATCAATACTGGCCAGTCAAGCACCAGATGAAGGGAAGATTTTCAATCCCGAAATATATGTCATATAGAGCAAGTATGGCCTGAGTTAGAGGGGTTTTGGACACACCCATAGACAGACAAAATTTTTTTTTATTTAGAAGATAGAAGAAAAGTAGGATGTTAAACAAAGTTTCTTTATTTGAAATCTAAACTCTTTCAACAGTGTGGGTTACAGCTCTTCTACACAAAAAGCAAAGTGGGAAGTGGAAATAAAATAAAAAGAACCTAAGCATGAGTGTTGGGGGGTGGGGGTAAATTTCTCCTTGTTATTTTCATATGTGAATTTCCTGGCTAAATCCACATCAGCACCTGTTGATGTGTCTTTAGTTGGTTCTTCAATCTGCTATGTTGTCTTTTTTGTCATGCAATGTTACCAAATATAAAACATGTATCCTTAGGTCATGCCACATTGTTGAATATACCATAAAAAATATTAATGTACACCTCCTTACCAACAAGCAAGCAGATGTATCAGGTATGTGGGTATGTAAAGAGTTGTGTTTAAACAAATATATCTTCAAGTTCTGGTTTCAGTGGACAAGACATGATGTAACCATTATTGACTGTAATAGAAAATTGGAACTAGTGGAATAGAATCCATGCCCAAAATTGGATAGGAAATGGGGAGAGGGAATGACTCACACCAAAAATTGGACCAGGGAGCAATAGAAACCATGCCCAAAATTGGATCGGAAATGTGGGGAGGGAATGACTCACACCAAAAATTGGACCAGGGGCCAATGGAATACATGCCCAAAATTGGACAACTGGGTGGGGGGTTGTGGTGGCAAAGTTCTGGACTGGGGGGAGGGGGTAGAATTTAATCACTCTAATAGTGTTTAATATCTTTGTTGTAAACTTTTAAGAATAAAAAAATGCATAAATCGATGGATTTATGCATTTTTCATGTTTGGATTTTATTAAAATTCTAATCATTTCTTTTTAAAAACAAACATTGCCAAAGAAGTTAAAATTGTATTCAATAATAGCAGTGTCAAGGGAATAACCATCCTTTTGACACACCTTTTTTTGCAGGCACAAAGATTAAACATTGCCAATGCTTTCTCTTAAATTGGCTCCTTCAGTATGAGTACCTATGAAATTCTCTATAAATTTCCTACAATTTTATAATTTCATGGTAATTCTTCAGATGATCTCTTTTCCATGTTGCAAAGACTTTGAATTTAAATGCAGTACTAGACTGGCAATGAGATCTCATCAATTTACAGTTGTGCTGGCTAGATGTAACTATAAATTCTATGCTAATAGTGTCTTTTCTCTCAGATATTGCTTGTGGAACTCCCTTCTGGCTCCATGCATTCCAGCCAACTTTAATCTGCAAAAATTTAAATGCAATGTCAATTGCTATCTACTGTCCTCCTGATTTGTTCTTCTTTTGTTCCCAACTCCTTAGCAATGATTCTGTTTCTCTTTCACACCCAGTAACCCCTTGTGTCTCAGTGTCTTTACTGCTTCAATTAAAAAAACATAAAAAAAATGGAAGTGGACCCAGGGTGGGGGGATAATTAATATAACGATATAATTTAATGTCATTAGGTGTTAACTTTAAAGAAACTTTTTAATTAAATGTTAATGGCTGACTGCTCGTATTTGAGGATGCCCGTCTACCACAGAGGGTATTGCAGACGCTCGCTCATGTGCATTTTTGTGTTTGTTTAAGGTGTGGTTTGTTCAACCTGTGGTTTATACTGCATCTATAATGAGCAGACCTTGGGAAAGAAGTGTGCTGTCTGGTGTGATCAACAAATCAGAACAAGGCCAGCATGTTCAAACCCTTGGTCATGACTTGTGACTTTGTTGTAGCACAGCCATTGACAGACCCTGAGGGTTCTGTCTACCTAATTTCACTCACAAGAACAAGCTTGGGTCAACCTGTGGTATGGTTTTCAGGCACTTTCCAAAGGTCCCACACATTGGGATCACCTTCTCCAGACCAATAATATCAAGAAGTCACCTTCCTGAGAAATCGACTATGGTGAGATTATCCAACCCAAGTCAGAAATTGAACATTCTAACCACATGGCTACGTACCCATCACTCACTATTGTAAGCCTCAAGGAATGAGATTTATTTTGATGGTCAACGCTTTCAAAATCAAATTAGTATTATTAACCAACATATATTCTGGATATATTTATTTTCTAAAATAAATACACCAAGTATATTTTTAGCATGTTTATATTAGAAATATTGACAAAAGCAGAATTAGTTGGTTATTCATCATATAAATATATACAATAATATAGCTATTGGCATTGATTTCAATTTCAGGTATATAAAAATTACTATGGGTCATAAGGAAGATATAACTTCAAAGAAAGAAATCAGATATTGTAAAGTTACCAAGTCATGGCAATTGTTAAATAAAATATGCTGTGTGTGTGTGTGTTTTGTGCGTAAAGATTGAAGGGCAGTGTGCAAAATTTTAACATGAGATGGACAGAAGTTATGATCCCATTCATGTCCACACGCAAAAAGCTATTGTGCTGATGAACTACAAAGCAATTCCCTTCTTTTCTTCTCTTGCGAACTACAATCAAAGCAAAAGGAGTGACTGAAACTAGCCATAAAAAGAAACAGATACACAACTGCAAAGAAAGAAATAAAGAGAGAGGGGAGGAATAGAAAGGAATAGAGAGAGGAGATAAATATATGTCAGACAAAATTTGGTTGTGGCTTATATTTTTAATTAAACTTCACATAAAGTTACTTTTCTTTGTGGTGACTTGGATTGTGTGATTGACTATCACTAGCAATGATGTTCTAATTTTTCAGCAAATTTGATTCTCAAGGACACCCAAGGTGTGTCACAAAAGCAGGCATATGAAAGCTATGCATGTGCATACACACACACACAATGAGGATAAAATACAGATATCTTTCCTGAGGTGTTTATAAATTGTACACTGTTTAATTATTAACTATTTATATTACAAAATTGTACTTGTATTAAATGAAAATTACTTACAATACATATTACTTAATACATTCCTTCTTGATGTCAATTTTGATGGCACAGGTATACTAGTAGGTATATAAATATTGCCATCGGTCGAAAGGAAAATATAGTCTCAAAGAAAGAAATTATTGGTTGGTTGATTTGTTTAGTAGCATGTTAACCTCTATGGGTTATTTAATGCGGAAATCTAAATATTTTATATGCAATTTTATGGCTTCAGCTACAGATATTTGGTACATAATTTTGTATTTTTGGGATAAATGTACATTTTATTTTGTAGATGATCAAATGCATTGTTGGTAATCTTTTTAAAAATGTATTGCTGGTAATTTCACGACAAAAATGAATTGTTGGTATTTTTTTAAAAATAAAATATGTATTGCTGGTAAACAAACTCTGATTTAAAATTTATTATAATTTCTTGGGGTGAATTAATATTTGCGATAAGTAACTTAACATTATTTGGGGTGAATTAACAGAAAAGATCCCGTGAGTTGAATTCATTTTAAATTATTTTTCTTTTAATTCTGAGATTTATTGGTCACATATACTGAATTATATTTAATTTTTTGATGAAAGGTGAAAATACTTTCATTATTTACATTATTCGGACTTTTATCCTCATCTTTATTGTCATATTCACAACGTTTCCGCCATATGCTCTGGCCTTCTTCAGGTGATTGGAATTTCGAAATGAACCCTTTATTTCGTTCACTGGGGTAGATTGTTCTAGTTCCACATGCCATGCCTCTTCAGGATGTCTCAGTTATTTACCTTTAACTCAACTCTCCAAGTTTTTTTTTTTAGTTGACCACTACAGTGGCCTGGTATTGAACTCACAACTCTTTGAGTCTAGGTGAAAATACTTGGAATAAATTATGTCGTATTTTTCGGACACTATTTTTCTTTCATTTTTACTTTTTTTTTCTTATGCATAATTTTTCTTCATATCTTAGTTGGCTCAGAATATGAGGTCAGTGATAAAAATTTAAAAGGAAATGTAAGGGAGATAAATCAGTGTTTGGTATGCAGAAAAAAAAATGTCTTTTTCTTTTTTTTTAACTTTTAAAAAATATCTTCGAACAGTTGACTTTCGAATTTTAAAACATTGACGACTTTTTGAGCGAAAGTAATAAACAATTTCGTAAAGAGAAGAGTCAAATTTTATATTTGAAATATGACTTCGCATTTTCATGATTTAATTTGATGACGCAATTGTTGCGAAAATTAATGAAATTAAAAAGAATCTTTGGAATTTATTTACGGAAATAAAACACGTAAAAAAGATTTTACTTACTTTTACTACACTACTAATTTACAGCCAAAATTTCTGCTTCGAACAATTACACATATTAGGATTCCTAAGTTCTTTTTTTTCTTCAATAATATTGTAATTTGAAAAGAATTTAAAAATTTTAATTAAAAATAAATTAAACTTACTTAATTAAATTATTGACACTTGAAATTTTTCGTGAAATCAAAATTTAACTTTACAACAAGCAGTTCAATGATTTTATCTCTTTTCCTACTAAACACAATAACTTTAAAATTATTAAATTTGTCATCCTAAAAGAAAAAAAAATATCAAAATATAAACAATTTTAGTTAGTAGTAAGTAAAGTAAAAAAAACAAACATTTTGTTTTGTTTAAAAATGGTCGGTGTACTCAGACTGTCACTAGCCTATTAAAAGCTTCTAATAGAATACATAATTATATGTTCTATATTCTAGTGGATAAGATAATTTAAAGCTTTCTTTTACCTTTTATAGTGACTGGGATTCCAAACTTTTGACCAGTTAATGGTCTTTACAGGAAGGTTTTGCAATGGTCTGTTGTCATATAACCGACTCATGGCGTATCCTGCATGTAATGTCAAGGGAAATAACTCTATCATCTTTATTGCGAAGAAAAGTATTCATTGGTGGGCGGTGTCCCCCTAGGCGGTGTAATGGTTAGCAAGCTTGTCTCGCTAGCACAATTACGAATGAGTAGTGAGTTCGATCCTCACTGGGTGCCCCATACTTTCGGCCTTGTGCCACATCTAAGCTACGCTTGGAAAATCGCTATAAACAACTCTTCAATTCACTACTTGAGGCATACAGTGATTTACTCATTCCCCCACGAGAATGAGATGTGACACAAGGTCTTTTTAATGTCGGGACCCGAGCGCTTACACTCGGGCAGGGACAAAAATTCCCCACAGTCCCCGCAACTGTCGGTTGCGCTGGCCTCGGTGCGAGCACCGATCCTTCCCTCTTAGTCTCACTCTTGTGCAATGGGAGGGCGCGGCCTCAGACAGCTGTTCCCCAGGGCTGGGCACCTTTTCAGTATAATTTTCTCAGTTGCCCTTCTGTCATTTGACAGAGAAGCCCCTGAGCGCACTCTGTCCAATGATAGAGACGCAACTGAGAGATGATAAATAATGTGTACAAATTACTTTACACTACTTGAGGCATACTGCGCGTGTAATGAGTTTCTGTTTAATTTATGTCAACTAGCTTCAGATTAATCATTAGATTTATTTAATGACTGTCAGTGGCTTCTGCTATGCATTTTTTTTTTACCCTAGAGATTCTTGATAAAATCTAGGTACCACCCTAACTAAAATTTCGAACGTGCTAGAAAGAATTATTAAAAAAAATTAATGAAACAATCAAAGAATACTTTGGTCTTTCCTAGAACATAAACATTTTGACGATAAGACTTTGTTTTTTATAAAGTTTGGCGCCTTTTTCATCATGGTATGCTCTTTTTTAGCGAATTATTGGAGGTGGCAAAATTGATAAAAAAATGGGTGCTTTTTACCCGAAATGAAAGCAAAAAAATCGCTACACCTTGCCTTCTAAAATATTTGCCAAAAATCAGGGAATTATCCGATTCAAATGAAACTTTCAGTAATTATTCATTAATGAATTAATTTTTTACTGAATAGTTTAAAAAATTGGTGAAATATGTTTTGGTGGGGTATGTTTCATCCCCCACAACACCTTTTCGATATCTCGTGTGTACTTTTTAATTTGGGATGGGGATTCGTCCATTTTTTTTTTTTTTTTTACAGTTTTAAAGAAAAATCATTGAAGATATTTCAGTAAAAACATTATTCAATATCAAGTGTAAAAATTCGGCCCGCATCTTACCAAAAATAATCCATTAAAACTAAAAAAGTAATTTATTTTTAGAATTGGTGTTTGCATAATTTGATAAAACATTACTTTCTTTCAGATTGGACCGAAAAATCTACACTAAAAAATAAGTTAATTTAATAATATTTATTTTTAAAATATTTACTTGTACGTTTTTGAAATTCATCGCGTTGCTGTTCGTCACAAGTTTCGTTTATTAAATAAAGACAGGTTTGAAGAATTAAAAAAAAAATCAAAGTTTAATACCATGATCACGTCGGGGTCACCAAATGTGTTGCAGGCCTGTGTATGCGTTGAGGGATAAACACGTGTGTCTCCTGAAATGCCCACAACAAACATGGTAGACTTGGGACGTGAGTTCACGTAAAGAAAGGAAAGAACCGATGTATATGTACGAACAAATGATAATGTATTAACAACAAAGGGTTACACAAGTGACAAAGATAATAATGTGTGTGTAATAAATGAATGTGGAAACTTTTTGGTCTCTAAAGTATGCGAAGTGAGTGAATGTGCGTACGTACGTGTGTGTGTGTATTGTTCATGCGTTTCCCAAAAGGCAATGCGTTTCTTCCGCGAGAAATCTACATGTTGACGTAAAAAGTAAGAAGAGAGAGATAAAAAAATTATCGCAGAGTATTTATAGTGCTGGAAGCCGTCCCTTAGTAACGGTTTCGAAGATTAGGAGGAGGTAACCTGACACCATTTTTGTATGGGACATTTTTAAAAATATGTTTTTCTTTTAGCTTAGATTATTTTTGGTATGGATGTACAAAAGGGACTTAATTGAGAAATCTCGCTTTGATTTCCTCCTATTTGATATCGGAAGATGAATTAATTAATCTAATTTTATATCTCCCCTTCAATCAGTTTTTATGCTTTGAAAAGCACTATTTCCCTATTCATTGGCACGCGTGTGTTTCTCTCGCGTGTCTCTGCTTTCCTGCATTCATTTACAGATTCTTGTATCCAAGAATAACCAATAGTTACTACACGTAAGTTGTAATGTTAAGTTTTTATTATTTTACAAACAAATCTTCGTCTTATTTTTCTGCATAAATTGTTCCTCTCAGCACCAAGAAAATTTTCAGAATTACAACAAAACTGTTTAGGATTTGAATCAACCCACAACAAAGAAAAAGGCGAAAAAGTTATTGAATTTTAAAAATACAAGATATTTTTATTTTCGTGTTTTTTTATAACTAAATTTTTCTTAGTGTCTATGAAAGTTTGTAAAGATAAAAAGAAATGTGATTTCTTCGCATGCATGTGTGAGAAAAAGGAGACAAAGGAGAAACTGAAAAAGAAAGTAAAAGTGTCACGTAGCTTGGTGAGGTAGACAAGAATGAATGAATAAGGGAATTTCTTTTAAGCCGAGCCGTCGTGAACTGTTGCCGTCTACCTCTCTTTACTCTTTTGTCCGCCTAAAAACTTTGCTTAAATACCCTTCATAGGGATAATGAAGAATGTTTTTTTTTTTATTGTTATCGGGAACACGACCCCTTGGTTGAAAAATGTTAAATATTTGTTTTTAAAAGCATTAACCGGAAAGATGCGCAGATTCACCGACTCAGAATCCAGTTTTTTTTTGTCATTTGTTATTTGAGTGTCTTGGTATTTTATTTGTGTCTTTGCACCACAAAACTGTTTCATTCACATAAAAGAATACTTTACTCAACTGTAATGTTTCTAAAATTTACTCTTAAAATAACTGCTTTTCTTTAATCATTAATTTAACTCAGCCTACATTTACGCTATAATTTTTGTTCTGGTCGCGCTTTAGTGCCTTTAAATTTATTCATCCAAATATAGAACGAAACGGCCGTCCAGTGCTTTCTGCATTCTGTTGAGTTTTCTTCTAGATTCGATGAATTAATTATGATTATTTCAAATCCTCCTAATTATTTCTATCTGTATATCCTTGCTTGAACCGGCTTCTGATGCTCTGGAGTGAGCGGCTTGGTGATAGTTGTCGTAGCTCGGGGAGGCACAGTCCTATGGGTAAAACAGAAACTCGGAGAAGTTCCATCGTGGCGCTATATCGAGTCTAATTCGTTACCTCTCCGAGAACCATTGGTACATTTGGTATGGCGTTTGCCTCCTATCGTAACTGTTCGGGTTTCAATTCTCGGTAGTGGATGCGCACTGCTAATGAGTTCCAAATATAGGACGAAACGGCCGTTCAGTGCTTTTTGCATTCTGTTGAGGTTTCTTCATGGATGGATTACTTAATTATGATATATATATATATATATATATATATATATATATATATATATATATTATATATATATTAATAAAAATATTTTTTTTTTCGCTACACAGTTCAACCATGTTTCAAAAATAGAAGCTAAAAACCCCGCATTTAATTTTGCAATTAAATTAAAAGCATTAGTTCCATTTCATCTTCAAGCGAAAATTATATTCGGGGTTTTAGCTTCTATTTTTGAAACATGGTTGGAACTGTGTAGCGAAAAAAAAAATATATTTTAAATCAATTAATTTATAATATTAATGCTCTGTAAATTTACATTGAGCACTATTTTGTAAAAATAAAAATATCTATAAGAACACCGGATTTTATATCTTACTGTTCTTTCTTTATATATATATATATATATATATATATATATATATATATATACAGTTCTTATAAGAAAAAGAAAGACAATAGCGCTTTATCCTCTATTAATGAAAACATCTTCAACTTTGCTAACAAATGTGAAGTTGCTGACAGAATGGGTAAATTTAATATTAAAAATGCATAGATTCTATTCAAATATCGTAAACCGAACTTTATCAATAGCTTGCAGTCCCGTTTAATTAATCCCTCAAAATCTGAGTTTGGATTAATTTCTAAAAGCATTCTTAAGAAAATAACACCATGTGTCCTGGATAAATATTCAGTCAACTTTGGAAGGACTCGGCAGAGATGATTAAATGGTTCCTAAAGATTTATTACATTGGAACCGTAATTACGATCCAATTCATCAAACCTACAAATTCAAAAATTTTTGAATTTGTAGGTCTGATGAATTGGATCGTGATTACGATTCAAATGTAATAAATTATAACCATGGAATATTAGTGTTTGAGCCTTTTATATTATGTTCTTACTCTGTTCTGGACATTGAGTTCTACCTGGATTCTATTCTCTTGGGAATTATATATATATATATATATATATTGGCCACTAACACACACACACACACACACACACACACACACACACACACACACACACACACACACACACACACACACACACATATATTGACCACTAACACACACACACACACATATATATATATATATATTGGCTAGCAAGAATTCATTTAAATAGATTTTATTAAATTCAGCCAGAAAAATACGTTTGTTTAATTTTTTATTGAATGTTTTTCCAATTTAAAAACATTAAAGTATTAAGTTGTGATAATAAAATCATTTTTTTTCTAAAACAAATCGGTAGGGGTTTATTTTAATTAAGAATATTGTAAGAATGGAAACAATTTTCGTTTTCTGAATGAATATTTTGAGATGGTGTTGTAGACTCGTCCTTTTCCTACCTATCACCCCTAGTAACAGAACAGTCTATATCTTACGCCTACGTACGGAAAACTTCAACCAATAAAAACCGTACTAGGCGAATCAACAAATCTCATTGGTTAACGACACAATAATCTGAAAGTTTCACGTGCAAAACGAAATTGCGCCAAAACTTCTTTGAGCCGATTTTGGACTTTCAAAACATATAAAAGAAAACGCCGATTGACCAAAGCAGTCAGATTATTTTCAGTTTATTATTGGGTTCACCTCCCTCCCCTCTCATCCCTCATCACGAGATTTTTATATGTATATAATTATCATTAAATTTTTAATGGCATGGGGCGTTTTGTAGGTCCCCCCTTTTGAGGATGTGGTATTATGGTGTAAGGAGGATTGATTGGTGATGGATGAGTTCTTGTGGTAAATGGGCAAATTGTAATGAGTGAATGGGTCGTGAATCGGATTAGCTAGGTATAGGATAGTCAGTGAAGACCAGCCTCAACCCCTCCCCTTTTCAGGCCTTGTGCCACAATTGTATTTTTCGATACAATAAATATACAGAGACGAACATCCACAGAGAAATTGCCAACATACTTCACGTCACTCGAAATCACGATTTTACTGCGCAAAAGTACATCAACGCTGACTCACTTGCAATTTAAACTCAACCAACTCTGTGGACATCGAATCACAAACCTTGCTCATCCAAAGTGAATTATATTCACTACCAATTAAGTAAAAAATCAACGTGCGAACGATTTAGAAATATTACAGTCAAAGGTAGATCATTCCATAAGAACTCCTTCCAAAAAACACTTAATATCGACATTTTTAATATCAACACAAATCTAGAAAGACTGTAAATGAACAAACGAATACTAAGAGAGACATACCGAAACCTAAAATATCACACACACTTTGCCATAGTAACATATACCAAATATCCTGATGTATATTATTTTGAATTGTATATAAATGTTTTATTGGTTTCTAAATTGAATATGTCTTGTTTTTTTTATTGTATTTAAAATTCGTTTATTTATTTGTTTGTGGACGCAGAAAGTCACGCAACCTACACAAATTCCTTCTGATTCTCTCAAGTATAATTAATAAATTCTGCACATCCTCAACAGTGTCTATTGTCGCGAGAATTGAAAGTGTAAAAAAAAATGACAAAAAACAATTGATAAATCGTGAAAACGCCATTAAAATTCGTTAAAACAAGGAATGCGGATATGTGACACGTGATGAACGTCATATAAAAGTCGTAAACATGCGTACAATAACAATAACAAAAAGAACAAAATTAGAAACATCACTGGTGAAGTAACATTCATCATTGGTAAAATAATAATTAATAACTTTGAACTTATTACTTTCTTCTGACATTCCGTAACTTCCGCGACTTCAGCCTTGGTTTATATCAGCGCACGGCAAATTCTTTTCATGAAATTTGTAAAAGAAAGCACAATAGCGACAACTTGGTCATGTATTCAGTGTATATAACTTCATTTGTACATTTCATCCTACTAGAAGTTCTACTAATACAATCAAGTGAATTGTTGACGGTAAGTATTTCACTAAGCGTCTATATTTTTTCTTCTTCTATGTACCGTGTCCCTTCATGACGTTGGCGGTTACGGCCCTCCACAATGTCCTGTCCTTTGTAGCTCTTAATAAATTCTGTCTTTTTGCTATCTCTACCAAACCCAGCTCTGCCATACAACACTCAAACTCGCCAATTAGGTTATGCGTCGTTTTCCTACGTCCCTCTTGCCTCCAGTCTGCCCTGTGAGTATTAACATTTCCAAGTCTGCTTTCCTCATTATGTGCCTTAGAAATTTCTACGGTTTCTTTCTGATGTTAAATATAAGAGTCCTTTTTTTTTTCAGTGTTTTTAAAACTTCGTCGTTACTCACAAGTTTGGCTCATGGCTTTATTTCTTTTTAAGGAATTATTATTATTATTATTTGTGCATGTTATGTTTCCTGCTTTGTATTGTGTAGAGTCGGGTCCAAACTATGGTCCTTAGGCCCTACAGGAGAATCATTATTTAATTGGTAGCATTTTTCTTAGTATATAGGATGTTCGTAGCAGGGCGATCTTCTGGGCAACTTGTATGTTGATGTTACCTGAGACACTGTTAGTAAAATTGTCCATTCTTTTTCTCACAAGGTCCAGAGTTCCGATTACTATTGGTACAGTCTCAGTCTTCATTCCTACATCCTGTTAATCTCGATCTCCAGGTCTTTGTATTTGGACAATTTCTCGATAATTTTCATGGAGGTGTTTCTTACAGATGGTACTGCTGTGTCAATAAGCATACACTTACTGATTTTTTTGTCTTTTATGATAATATCAGATCTGTTGGCTTTTATTTCCCTGTCAGTTTGAATTGTCATGTCCCAGAGGATAGTTACATCGTTATTTAGAATAACTGTGTCTGGTTGATGCTCATACCATCTCTCAGTGGTTTTGATTTTGTGCTTCTTGCATATCTTCCAGTGCACATATGTTGCTACCTTGTTATGTCTGTGGGTATATTCATTTTTTGCTAGTTCCGGGCATCCATAGATAAGATGGTCAACAGTTTCATCATATTTTCCGCAGATCCTGCATTTTGGGTTTATTTCATATTTCCTTTGCTTTCTGTTGTATATATGTATACATCCTTCGATGTCTCAACCAGAGACCTAAGGTTAGAAATGGCTTCATGACATTTTTCACGGATCATTTTGCACCCCACCCCCCCAAAAAAAAACCTAAGATCACACACATTTTGCATAAATAAAGCTCTTCGTAATGTGTGACCTGTATTTGTGAATACAAGTTTTTTGTATTTCTTTAAGGTATGGGCTATCAGGAATCCCTTCAACGAGTCTATCGGAACCTTTTATAATTAATCCAACTACAACTGGAATTATTGATCTCCTCATGTACTACATTTTTAGATTTCTATTTCAAGATCATTGTATTTTGATAGTTATTTTGAAGATCTTCAGATATGCATTAAAATCTGCAAGGATTGCTATGTCAATAAGAAAACACATTCTGTTTTTGTGGTCTTTGATCACGATGCCTGGGTGGTTAGCTTTGATTGTTCTGTCTGTGTGTATTATGTAGTCCCATAAAATTGTTACAGGTCCTATCTCCATAATCGGGTCTGGGTGGTGTTCATACCAATTTCTTGCAGTTTCCTTCCCGTAAAAATTGCATCTATTACAGATATTTGCCCACTCTATCATGCTGAATTTTATATTCACTGGGTGCTAACACCGTGCAACCTGATACAAGATGGTCAATTATTATTATTATTATTATTATTATTTGCATAAAAAAGAGAACTTTTAAATCAAAGGATTTTTTTAAATAGAAGTTTCTTTCTTTTACATTAGAAACAATTTATTTTTTACGCATCCCCTTATATATATATATATATATATATATATATATATATATATATATATATATATATATATATATTCATGACGGGAAGCAATGGTAACAAGTCTAATACAAGACGGCTCATCTAGACAAGCAGGAATTACACACCCAAACCTAATCTCTAACCTACATTTTTTAAAAACTTTTCTACTTTGACATAAATCTGTCTTTGTATTCGTCAAATAAGACAACACCCATAAAAAAATCCTGGAAACTTATTTCCCCCTCCTAGTTAAACTCTTCAATATAATATTACGTCTCTTTCAAAAGTAAATCACTTTTGTCTGAAGTTATTGAATATCGCTTGAAAAAGTAACAATAATTTTAGTTCCGAAACATTGAAATTTCTCTGTCGCGATGAAATAATATTTTTAAATAATAATAATAATAATGATATATATATATATATATATATATATATATAATTATAGTTATAGTTAAACCTAGACAGCCAGACAAACCTACCAAGGTTTAACCTGAGCGGATCGTCAGGGAAGGCTAGCCAGTCTTCCCTGACGATCCGTTTGGTGAAACCTTGGTAGGTTTGTCTGGCTCTTTAGGTTTAACTAGGTCTGCTCTACTTACCGTATTGAGCACTTTATTTAGTTATTTTGTTTACTCGTATTGGTTTTTTTTTCTTTGGACTTGCATGCTAGACGATTATTTTCGGCTGACGTACATGTTCTTGGTTCTTTCTTTCTTTATACCCTTTTTTCCCTTTGGTATTGGTTGGATTATTCGCAAATCAAGACACCGCAGGTTTTCCGGACGAGTATAATTTCTTATACTTATAAGATTATTACTAGTATATACACACACACACACACACACACACACACACACATATATATATATGTATGTATATATATATATATATATATTATGAAATGGATAAAGTCCGATAATTATTTTCTGTTTATACGTTATTTTTATAGATATATTATTAAATGCTCTGTTTTTTAATTAAAAAGTATTAATTGCATTTACCGGCCTGAATGCCGGGGTGCGCATATTTTCTTGTTGTTAACAATTTGAATTGGGGGGGGGGTGGCCCTGAAAATTGTAATAATTTAAACTTTATTTTTATTAAAGTTTTTATGAAAGATATACAAGAAAAAAAAGTAAATAGTAAAACGTTGCTGAGAGTTATAATGGATAGGAAGTAGTGGAGAGCTATTGTCGCCAACAATTTGGACTCAAAACCGGCACTGAAAAATTATGTATCAAACAAAAAAAATTTAATCAAAATCGGATGAAAACTGTGGAAATGCATAAACAACATTCGATCATACACATACACACATACATACATACACCCATTTTGAGAATTATAGATATAGAGAATTAGGTTAGAATAAAATTTGTATTTTATATGAATAATACCTTATGAAAATGTATAAACACTTTATTAGATTGTTTATTTCCAAGAATAATTTTATATCTACAACATTCTAAAAACTAATACAATTAAAACTAATGCAATGCAATATTTATCATTTACCAATTTATAAAAAAATAAGGTTAATTTGCAGTTTAGCACCCCCACTAAGTTTGTATTAAAAATTGCAGAATACTTACATTTATGTGTAATTGTACATGCTTCATTCGTATCTGGTTTGATAAATTTGATAAAATCTACCGTTTTGGAGTAATCGACAGTAAAAGTTCGAATTCATTTGCGTTGTTGGCGGCAGCCATTACTGGCTTTGTTTGCATACATTCACTGCGGAAAGCTAAGAACGTAGTTAACGGCCTTGTTTACTGATCTTACTTGTCTCAATTACTTCGCAAGAGAACTATATTGCGTGCGCAATAATCAAGACAAGTGGATATAACTCATAGCTATTTCGCAGCCAATGTATGCAAACAATGCCAGTAATGACTGCCCATGACGCAAATGAAAATTCCCCCCTCTTTCAACCATAACAAGCAGTTAACTTTTGCTACAAACTGGTTACCAACAGCCTCATCGTTGCTACAAGCTTACCTGTATATTAATTTCGTATATTAATTTCTGTATATAAATTTTTTTTTAAAATCATTTCACCCCAAGCAAAGCGGGAATGCCAGTATTATGCAGGGGGGGGGTTGCAGGGAGTGAAAGTGAGAGGAAAGACTGAGTATAGAGAGGATTTAAGAAAGAATAAAAGATGAACGGGTCTCAAGAAGATAGAAGATTGCGATTAGCGTTGCATTTAAATTTGTGAAGATTGTATTTATCAGGGAAGCAAGTAAATGGAAGTGACTTTCACAGTCAGGGAGTGCGAGAAGAGAAACTGTTGGAGTTGGCGGCTGTATTTAGCTATTTCAATCGTAAACGGATGGGACCTAAATGCCAATCTAGTGACATGTTTAAATTCTTGCATCTGTGAGAAATTGACTGACGTCGAGATGCCAGGTCAAGATCAGAACAGGAGTAGAGGTCTATCCCTTGTTCCCTGTTTAGGATCAGGTTTCCAGTTTTTCTAAAGTCTACTTCAACTCTATACTTCTAAAATCTCTGACTGAGCTCTGAAATTTTATTCCCTAATTATTTTTTCTTCTCTCCCAATAGGAGTAGATAGATTCGTCTAATGGCCGGTTCACACTCCTTTCTAGTCTTTTGAAAAGGAATAGAGGTCTGTCTCTTGTTCCCTGTTTAGGATGGAGGTTTCCAGTTCCTTCTAAAATATTTTAATTCTCTTTCACTCTCAGTAGCTTCTTGCATCTTAGTGACATTGTTTTTTTTTATAAGCGTTTCACCCCAAGCAAGGCGGGAAGCCACTAGCACGCAAGGGGTTACAGAGAGTTGGAGCAAATAGAAGTGATAGAGGAAAGGAGAATAGAAATAGAATGTGGCACAAGGCGGAAAATAGGGGGAACCTGGTGAGGATTGAACTCACTATTCAGTCATAACTGATCGAGTGACACAAGCTTGTTAACCATTGCACCAACGTTGAAATGCCCAATTTTCATTTGATATTTTGATCAGGGCATCTGGAGACGTTGATTGACATTACATTTGAATAGTTGGAGATTATAGCTATCAGGGAAACAGGCGAGAGGTGTGAGACATGAAGCTATTGGAGTAGAAGAGACGGCTACATTTGACAGTTTCGACAGTGAAAAGGTGTGAGCGAGATGCCGGCCTAGTAGAACGCTTAAATTCATGAAGTCTGGGAACCAGCGAAAGCAGCTCCTCGGATACCATGAAAGTATTTGTAAAAAAGACAGAGGAAAGCGACGGCACGTCTGTGAGAGAGACTGCAGACGAGATGCCAGATCAGAGCCAATTACGTTGACATATTCGACTCTGGATCTTATCAAGAACATTGAGACAAACATAAGGGGCACCAGATCATATATGGCAGCAATACTCCATGCAAGGGCAAATGGTTGATTTGTAGATTTGCTTGTCGTGAAGTGATTAAAAAAAAATATTAAGAAAAATCTAAAACCTCCCCGATTATTAAAAGCACTTAAAAGTAAGTTAGAATTTTATTTTTTTCTTATTACGACTGTCTATATTGGAGGCGGCACGATGGAGTAATGGATTGTGGCTTGGTTTGAGGAATCGGAGAGCCGAGTTCGAATTCCAGTTGAATCCATTACATTCACATACATGCTAATACCCTTGGGAAAGTTATTAATCCTCTTCTTCTCACCCCAGATATGAGTAAATAGCAGGACAGACTGGATCACAAACTACTACCGGAAAAAAAATCTGCCTTGTCAGTCATGTATTGAAAGATACATGATCGCCTAAGCATGTATCACGCATGGTACATAACTGACTGATATTGAAATCATGGAATAGGTATTTTAAAAGAACCATATAGTTCTAAAAAAAGAAGAGAGGGCTTGGAGAATTTGACACTCACAGGATATATCAAAGGTGAAAGGGGCAGTGGAATGTGTCGGGTGAATGGATGGTAGAACGGAGTGGTGGTAGAAAAAATAGCAAAAAGACAAATGTCACAAAGAGATACAAAGGATAGGAAATTGTGAGGAGCCATGATCGTCCATTTTGATTGATTGATTTGTTTTCTACAGTTTATCAACCATTATCATGTTATTTAAAGCCAGAAAATATTTTTTTGATTGTAAGAATTTTTAAAAGAGTTAATAATGGCTTACTGATAAAATGCTTATTAATTGAACCACAGCTGGAGGTGAGGGTGGGGAAGTGATCGATTGATACATTTCCTCAGAGTATTTGCTCGTAAGTGAATATAACGAAGCCAACTGGAATTAGAACTCTGCTCTTCAATTAACAATTCGTGCCCATTATTCATTACACTAACCGCACACCCAAGCTTATAGCACCCGATATTCTCAAATGGTTACCTATCTGGGGAATTAGGCTCGACGTTTGCTTAATTTCGGTGATCGTACGGGAGGCGGTGTTTCAACGCAAGTCATCCGCTTAATGGACACAGCACATAGAAAATTAAAAAAACAATGTATATTTTGAACATTTTAAAACAGTTTTCATGTTAATAGGCTGACTGGCGAAAAATAGGACGAATGTTTTGTTAGTACATGAAGAGGTCATTCTCAAGAGATATAGGATTGTTCAAGGACTCAATCGTTTCCTTTGTAAGCACTTTTTGAGTGTCAGTGGGTTATTTTTTCTTTTTTTTTTTTTAAAAATCAAAACAATTACAATAATCTTTTCGTCCAGTTTACAATTCCCCACTGCCAGCCCAAGAAATAACCATTTCCTAAGACTTATGTAGTAAGTTGTTTTTCAAAGCATACGCCGAAAGTTAGGAGCACTGGGTGAGGATTGAACTCACTACCAAGTCATAATCGATCGAGCGAGATAGGCTTGATAACCATTGCACCAACGTTGAAGTGTCCAATTTGCATCTGATATAGTGATTTTCAAAGCTAAGAATAGAATGTGGCACAAGGCGGAAAATAGGGGGAACCTGGTGAGGATTGAACTCGCTATTCAGTCATAACTGATCGAGTGACACAAGCTTTTTAACCATTGCACCAACGCTGAAGTGCCCAATTTGCATTTGATATTTTGATATGCGTTGCTTTCAACTTTCAGCCAGTCAAAAGTTCTATTTAAGTACATTTTGTATTCAAATACCTTTAAAATCTCATCTTTCTTTTGCAGGTATTTACTGGGAAATATACTTTGCTCAATACAAGTGGTAAGTATTACAAGTGTTATGCGTCTTTAAAATAATACAGAATTATGTTTCTTTGAATAATAATGGTAAGATTTGGTGTTTCCTTATTTTCACTCCTTGGCAATTGGGCAGGGATCAAAGTGTAGGATCTGTTCTCCTAATTTCTAATGGTAATGGTAAAAATAACTGTTTCCTTATGTGGAAACATCTGACATTCATTGACCAAGCAGCCAGTGCTACTTGAGTTATGCTTTCCTTCAACTGGTTATCAGGGCTGAGATCAAAGTGTAGTATCCATTCACTTCCAGTTTAATGGTAATAGTAATAATAACCATTTCCTTATAAGGAAACATTTCCAGATTCACAATGTTTCGGCCATTGTACGCCCCAACCTTCTTCAGGTGATATACGTTGGAATTTCAAACCAAACCCTTTCACGGATGTAGATTGTTATAATTCCATGTGCCATGCCTTTTTTGGGGGGTGGGGTATATCAGTTTCGTTAATTCCATTTAGTTGAGTTACTAACAACAGTAATAAAAGAGCTGGAAAATAAGAGAAATTGTAATGTGAGCTCTGATAAGAAAATGGTTACTAAGACATTAGGTTCATAAATCCCCCAAATTCAATCACTGATGTCACCAAGGACACTTAGCCCAGTGGATAAAAGCGTTGAGTAATTCAAAAGTGACTTGACCCAAAGCCAAAGTGAGTTTTTGAGTGAATAAAAACATGGAGAGTTGAGTTACTAAAGGTAATTAACAGAAACTGTGGCTATAAAGATGATGGCAATAATCCGAACGATGTAAATAGTGTCAATATCTCATCTCATATAGACAGATCCAGAAGGTTAGAGTGTACAATGGGTGAAATGTCTTGAATATGGCAATAAAAATGATGACAAGAGTTCGAACGATGTAAATAGTATTAATATCTCATCTCATAAATATAAACAGATCCAGAAGGTCAGAGTGTACAACGGCCGAAATGTTGTGAATATGGCAATATTTGAGTTTTAGTCAGAAACTAGCAGTTAATACTTGATAAAAACCAATAAAGAATAAAAAATAACCAATGAAAACCGAAAAAGACAACAGTAAAAATACCAAAACTTCTTTTTTTTCTCTTTATCTCATTCTCTGATGAAGCTTTAATAAAAGTGAAACATATTAGATTGATAAGCATTTCCTATTTGTAAGAGTGATAATATTTCCTATTTGTTCTTTATCCTAAGCTTTTAGTATTTAAGTAAAAAAAAAGCCTTATTAATGCACTTAACCTCTAACGTATAACATTTCTTTATTGTAGCAGTAAGGATATCCTTCATTTTTTAAAGAAAGATAAGCATTTAAATTATTATTATTATTATTATTATATTGCTGTTTGTAGATTGTACCAAAGATTTGCCTGTCTACAGACCAAACCCGAATGGACAATGGCCATCTAAAATCAGTTCTGCTGAATATGAGACCTTCGTCAGTGATAGACAGATGAGACTTAAAATCACTTGGAAAGCAGGTAAGTTTTTGAATTGATTTGTGGGAGCTTGAGAGTGGTAAATTTGTCCTTGTTAAAATCATTCGCCTGCAAAGAAAAAGCAAAGGAAAAAAAAAAGAAAAGAAAAGCGGATAGAGTTTATTTCCAAACCTTTTTTTATATTCCAGAAATCATTAAGGTGTTTTACAAAAAATGTTTTACATTTTCTTTTTAGTCTAGTTTCTTTGAAAACAGTTTTCATATGACAGGGAATAGACTTGACGCAGAAAGATTACTTAATGACTTCAGCTCGGACTGTTACATCTGCCTGCTACCCACATTATCACACAGACTGCTTGGATACTGACTGACTACTTGATACATTATCCTTTTATTTGAAAATGTGCTACTTGAAGAGTAGAAAAGTATTCTAATAACTCTATAACTATAAATGCTTTGAAGATGAAAATTTGGAGGCTAATAATTTTATATATGCTTTAAGTTGGTTTCCAGTGTTATGCTATATATTTTTCTCTCCAGAATCTGTCTTAACCACATCTGGCTTGGTGCTCCTGATATATATTTAGAGATTCTTGATAAAATCTAAAGAAGAATCTGCAATGTTATTGATCCTGACCTGGCATCTTGGCTTCAATATATTTCCCATCACTATAAAGTTGCTTCCCTGTGCCTTTTCTATTATTTCTTTCATGGTAATTATTCTGATTAATTTTCCTCAATGGTACCTAGATATTATGAATTTAATTGCAATACTAGATTGGCAGTAAGGTCGCATCATTTTACAGTGGAAATGGTGACCAGATGTAACCATTACAATAGAATTTATTAAATTTGTAGATAAAAATTCTGTTACTCCTGTAGTAAATACAGAGTCTGCCCTCCCCCCACCATGTAAACACATTTCAGGAAAGGAAAAACTTGTATAAATACTATACACACAAATTTACCAGACTCCATTAGAAATATACTAGTAGAAAACACAAATATAACTACATCCACCTGCAAAAAAGACTAAAGATAATGGAAGCTTTAATAATAAAAAAGAAAAAGCCAACTTTTAACAATATTAACTACGAACAAAGCCACAATGTGCTAACCGTATTCGGAAATTAAAAACATCCCTACCACACACACTCAATTAAGCTGAAAAATCGAATCATCCTTGATAATGGCTAAAGGTATAGCCGAAAGCGCTCGGAAATATAAAACATTTGGACAGTTCTTACATACCCCTTGTCCAGAAAAGAAAGCTCTTGTTTGAACACAAGAAAAATTAAATAAAAAGCTTAACCGTAGTACCTTGTCTGTCGTTTTTAATGAAACATGCATAAAAGAAGGATTGCTGCCTAAATATACAACTATATATATATATATATATATATATATATATATATATATGTGTGTGTGTTTTATGAGTAATAAGCTACTTTCATTTAATAGAGAGTTTAAACCTCATTGGCTGGCCCAAGCTTGTGACAAAACTAATTTATTAAGCAGGTATAATCTTTTTTCCTTTTTGCCCATTTTATAAATTTAATTTCAGATTTCTCGAAAACTCAATTGAAAATTCTTGTTCAAATAGGATATTATGCAAATACATTTAAAAAAAAAATAGTAAGCAAGCAAAAAGTGAATGACTCAACAAGAAAAGTTTAGAAATAGAACAGCTACATAGTCATGCATAAAAAGGCTAAAGGAAATAACAAAGCAGAAAATATGTTCTTTGACAGGACAAAGACACGCACACAAATGCATGCGCGTGTGTGTACGTGTGTGTGTGCGTATAAAAGCTATTTGCCAAGTTCTGTTTTTGTTGTTAATCTTGTACAGCACCAGGACTCATCTTTGGCAAAAGTGTGAACTCTTTCTCTTATAGAAAAGAAGAATGCAGGCATAAAATGTGTGGAATCTATATATAAAATTCCGTAACTTTTGTTAGTCCATCTGTCACACCCTTCTTCTAAAATCGCCATACATTGACCGATCAAAATCAAATTAAAAAATATTGTTTATCATGAATTCCTATAAAATTAAATTAAATTAAGAAATTATTAAACTGCGAAGTAGGGTTTTTGTCAAAGTATTTTCCCAAACAAATCAGCTTATTCAAATTTTATCGATTGGTTTACAAAATTGAATAAAACGTAGAATTTGTAAATCTTGACAAAAATGTTAGCGATAACTTAAACAATGCTAAATACTGTAAGGATTTCAACAGGCGTCAGTGTTGCAAAAATAATTATAGTCACTTTATATATATATATATATATATATATATATATATATATATATATATAAGCATCAACACGTGGAGACAAATGCAGTTAAAAAGCTTTTTGAAAAGCTAAGCGAAACCAGTTAAAAAAAAAAAAAAAAGAAAATAACAGGTTTTAAAAAATATTTTCTATGAAAATTTCTCGGACATTCAGGAAAATTTAACAGATTATAAACAGAGAATTTACCTTGTATCTATAAAAAGGAAACATAAAAATGTCTTAAAATAATTGTCGTTTTCATAATGTTGACGCCATTTATTTACATTTGGATTATGAATGTATGTGAGAGAATCATGGAAGATTGTAGTTTAAAGACAGTAAAATCGAAAGAGAACCGAACGCTCCTCTGTAAGGCACGTCAGGCTATATGACGGTTCCGTATAGGATACAGGTTCGATTCCTGTCGGAATACGAATATTTTCTATGAAAATTTCTCGGACATTCAGGCCGGTAAATGTTATTTAATACTGTTTATTATAAACGGAGCATTTACTTAAATATTTGTATCTATAAAAAGAATGTATAAACATAAAAATGTCTTAAAATAATTGTGGGACTTTGTCCATTTCATAATATATAATTATAAAAAGGTAATCATTTAAAGAATTAATCAGTAAAGTTAATGGTGGATTCCGGGATGAAATCCGGTCTCAAATGAATGACAAACGCAGGAATGAAATATTCCTGCCATTTTCATTTATTATCTGACCTAAGTATTTAATTTCATTTAGGAAAAAAATCACACTTTTCTCCTTTTACTTTGAACCCAAAGTCCTGAAGTCTTCTGAAAACTTCCTTTATGTGTGATGTGTGCTCTTCAACATTGTCGCTCTTAATTACAATGTCGTCCAGATAAGCGGTCGCGAAATTCTGGCCCGTGAGCATTGTGTCCATCGTTTGCTGAAATATTGCTGGTGCAACTTTTACTCCGAATGGTAGTCTGTTGTACAACCTTTTGTGCGTATTAATGCAAAGGATTTTCGTACTCTCTCCTTGTACTGGGATTTGTAGATAAGCCTCACTTAGATCTATTTTTGAAAATATCTTACCGCCGTTGAGCTTTGTAAATATTTCTTCTGGGCTCGGTAGTGGGTAATGATCGTCTTTTATAGCCATGTTAAGCCCCGTCAAAAAATCTGCGCATACGCGAACTTCTCCTGATATCTTTTTTACATAAACTACCGGTGCAGCCCACTCACTAAACTCTATTTTTGAAAGAATCCCAGTTTGTTCAAGTCTCTCCAATTCTTTGTCGATTTTTTCTATAGTAGCGAACGGTACGTTTCGCTTCTTTTTAAAAACTGGTTGGACGTTTTCTTTTAATTCAATTTTGGCCTCAAATGTGTTGCATCGTCCCAACCCGCTTGAAAATACCTCAGGAAATTGGTTATATAATTCTTCCTTTAACTTTATAGCATCTGACGGTTCAACCTCTACCTTCTTGTAAAAAGAGCTGATAGGTAGATCCCAAACGTTGAAGTTTTGCATCCAGTCGATACCTACTAGATTTTTAATATCTTTCATGACGTATATCTTAAGTTTTTTTGTTTTCCCGTGAAATTTAACATTCACGATTATTTCTCCTTCGAATTTTATTCGCTTGCCTGTAACCGACTTGGTAATTTTTTGTGTATGTAACATGGTTGGTCTGTTAAGTTTTCTCCATGTCTGTAGGTTGATTATCGTGAGGTCGAAATCCGAATCCAGTTGCAATTTTATCTTTTTATTTAAGATTTCAAATTCCACATATTTCCTTATGTTGGTATTGTCTTCGTTATGCATCCTAGTAGCTCTTATTCTACTAGTATCTTTTCTGTTCCTACATTGGGATGCCTTCTGGCCCATTTTTCCACACTCAAGACAGTTTTTATATTTAAAACGGCAATCGTTGTTCCAATGTAGTCCTCCACATCGATAACATGCTGATGGTGGGGTTATATTTGCTTCGATTTTCGTCATAATTTGCCCTGTATGTTGTACTTTTTCTCTTATTATAGAATTTTTTTTCTTTCCGGGGAGGTTGAGAATCTTTTTTCATTATTATATTTTTTGTTTTCTTTCCGGGGAGGGTGAAAAACGTAGACTTTTGTTTAACTTATGTATATGAGATACAGCTGACACCTCAATGTCCTTCGAGTCTTTCTTTATACTTAGACATTTCTGGCAATCTTCCGATAATTGTTGTAGTGTTAGTCCAGGTTCATTTTGTAATTTTGAAAGCATTCTTTTGCGCATTTTACTATCTTTTGTTGAAACTAAACAAAGATGAGACACTTGAAACTTCCCGCTAATTTGAAGTTGTGGAAAAACGTGGAATAATTTTTTATCACCCTGAAATAGGTTAGTTCTTTGTGGAAAAGTGATGTTTTGGGGCTGAAGAGTTCTTCAAATGTTAAAATGTTAATTCTTCTTTTTTTTTTGGCAAAATATAATCCACGAACTTTGTATATTCTTTAGTTCTTAATTTTCTAAGCAATAGACGTAGCTTTTTTTGCTTCTGTCCAGTTTTGACAGTCGATGTTAAAGATGTCTTCTGAAGTAATCTCCGAAATTTTTATCCTCATCTAGAGAATATTTGAAAATCTCTATTGTATTCCACACTGCGTCTTGCGAAAAGTTGCCTCTTTTTCAATATCTAATTACTTGTTACCCGCCGCTTTCAATATTAGTTCCTGGAGCTCTATTTGTCTTTCTTTTTTTTCTTCTGCGTTTGTAGTAATTGCTTTTGCCATTTTCCTTCCATTATTTCTTGTAATTGTAATTGTTGATCATTTTGGTATTTTACCAGTTCTACCAAAATATTTTTAAAATCTTCCATGATAACTCAATTTTACGTATTTTTAATCCTCGTAACTCTTTGTCGTCAATTTGTTTTGGACGACGAGGGAAAATTTTGTTGTTGTTTGTTCTTCCTGTGTGAGTTCAAATCGCTCGTCGCCAATTTGTTGTGGACGAGGGGAGGATTTTTCTATTTCTTCTTCTTGTGTGAGTTCGAATCGCTCGTCGCCAATTCGCTGTGGACGACGAGGGAAAATTTTTTTTTTTTTTCTTCTCGTGTGAGTTCGAATCGCTCGTCGCCAATTTGTTGTGGATTCCGGGATGAAATTCGGTCTCAAACGAATGACAAACGCAGGAATGAAATATAGCAAATAAATGTATTGACGTAATAATACAATTGGTAATACGGTTAGTAGATCCAGAAATGCGGTTAGTAGCAATAATAATATATATACCGTCTGGGAAATTTAGTATCGAAGTATGACTTCCTTCTGAGTCTACGTGTTCGCAACTGTGACACCTACAAAGCGGTTACCTCACTCTCTCACTCCCGGGGATTCACCGGCAGCAGTACAAGTACACACTGGGCGAGTCCACTTGTATCAAGAAGGGATGGACCCCTTAACAAGTGCACTATTTAATATATATATATATATATGTGTGTGTGTGTGTATACATATTTGTGTGTGTACATATGTGTATAAAAGTTATCTATGTGATTCTGTTTTTGTGTGTTTTTAATCTTGAACAGCACCAGGACTCGTCTTTGGCAAAAAGTGTGAAATTTGTTCTGTCATTGACTCGTTCTTCCTTTCCTGGCCTCCCTTTGTACACAATGTTGCGACTTCCTCTGTTTCTGTCAGAAACAGTAATAATAACATATTTGTTCTTTTTATGCAGATATAACAAATGTGAAGGGATTTAAAATTGTCCTGAAATAGACTGGCAAGCCTGATATTTGTCATATATTAGACTACACTAATGCAATCACCAATTCCAGTTCTGGCCTGGTACGTGCCATTTTTGTCCTGATTTTGTTTTTTTATCTTTTTATTTCAGTCATTTTACCACAAGCAAGGCAATAATACCACCAAATTCGTAGGAGTGAAAGAGAATTTTAAGACTTTTGTGAGAGAAAGGAATAAGGACTGGTTTCAGGAAAAACAAGATAGTGATTGACATTGCATTTACAGGATTGCAAGTGGTAGGAAAGCAAAAAAAAAAAAAAAAAATCTATTCCACAGATGAAAAGTGCAAGAAAAGAAACTGTTTGAATAGAGCTGACAGTTGCATCTAGGTAGTTCAATAGTAAAATGATGAGACCTAATTGCCAATCTAGTAGTACGCTCAAATTCATGCAGTCAAGATACCAAGGAAGAAAGATTATCAGAACAATTGCCATGGAAATATTTGTAGATAAGACAAAGGAAAGCCATGTCATGGCAGTGGATAAGGGATCATTTTTAAGATCAGCTGCCAAACTGACCTTATCAAACCAATCAAACTTACCATTAAGACATAAGTAAATAGTTGTGTCACAAGCATAGATACCGAGAGCTGAAGCCACCATGAAAGTCATTGATGAAAATTAGGAACAACGTAGATCCAAGGCTAGAGCCCTGGGGGATACAGCTGCATTAATACAAAAAGATCTAGAAGAGTGGCCATTCAAGACAACTTTAAATTTTTTAATTTTTTCTACTTTCAAACCCTAGACTTGGCGATGTTAAGATTGTATTGGTCAGGAAAACTTTGTCTTGTCAAAGAATATGTTTTCTACTTTGTTATTTTCTTTATCCTTTCTATGCATGACTATGTAGTTGTTCTATTTCTATTCTGTTCTTGTTGAGTCATTCACTTTTGCTTGATTCCTGTTTTTCAAAAATGTATTTGCATAATATCCTACTTGATCAGAAATTTTCAATTGAGTTTTCGAGAAATCTGAAATTAAATTAATAAAAGAGACAAAAAGAAAAAAAAGCATTACACCTACTTAATAAATTAGATTTGCTTTGGGCACCCAATGAGGTTCAATCTCTCTATTCAGTGGGATAAGCTTGTTACTCATAAAAGCACAACGAGGTATATTTTATTTGCATGGATGGATTATCTTTTAGGCTAGTATAGGTTGCAGCCTAGGGTCCCTCAAGCTTTTATCAAGCAATGATTTTAATTTTCTAGATGTTATAACTTTTAAATAGTTCCATAAACTGAAATAATATTATATATTTATTTTGGTTGTTTTCATAATGGTGTTCTTTGACTATGGTTTTATTGATTTTAGAAGGTGGGTGTTATAGACGGACTAAAAAAAGTCACAGAATTTTATATATAGATTCCACACAACTATTTACTCATGTCTTTTTGCCATAAATAGTAAAATAGTAATTCTTAAAGTGTATATTTATTGACAAACAAATGATAATTATTCTAGTTATTTTAAAGAATTTGTAATAAGTTTAGTTTAAGCTATGTTAATGTTGCATATGCAAAAAATATTCAAGATGGGTGCGGATGGTAGAGGATGGCTCCGTCTGAGAAGCTGGGGTATAATTTCATTAACCTAGGGGCCTTAAAAGTCATCATCCATCTATTTGTATTCATAAGCATTTTACTTCCATAAACAAATGTGTTTTTTCTTTTTCAGTTCTATTTTAGGATTGTATTCAGTATCGCTGAGAATATGAATTACACAGCAGAGTTATCTCCCTTACCCAGACATGATGAAACCTTAGTTCATACTTCACAATTCGATTCAGTGGGTAAGTTTTTGATGGTTATTTACAATTTGACTTTATATGATTTCTTTATTACTCATTTACGTTTTATCGATTTATGCTGTCAAAAAATGGAGGCTCATGTGAGATTTGAGATCTTAAGTTTTTAAATATATATTTTCAAATATTAATATGAGATAATGTTATATATTTTTTATATATCAAGAACAGTATTAGGGAAAAATGTATGACAAAGTGGAAAAAGTTTGCTTGCGATGCGTTTCGTTTCATGAAGTCCTAAAGGACGAAACAAGCCACAAGCAAACTTTTTCCACATTGTCATACATTTTTCCCCAGTATTAATATGTAGTAATAGTGGGGGATCAGTTTATTACGTGATAGCAATAGCAAGTCGTTCCCCCACTTTATGTTCAGTAGAATCTCATTAATACTGGCTTGCACATGTGTAGTACTAAAATAAGCAGACACCATCTCGCCTCTCGTGTGTAAGCACGCATTACAATAAATATAAATGTTTTTCAGTCTGACAGCTGAATTAAGTCTAATAAAGCTTCATAAGCTCCTTCTTGGTGTTGTTACTATATTACACCATACAATCATCGTCCTGGGTAAGACTTTAAACTACATCCGCGTCCAGGGTAAGACGTTAAACTGCATCCAAGTTCTGAGTAAGACGTTAAACTACGTCCAGCAGCAAGATCAGGAGGTTTTAAGGAGCGTGGAAGCACCTCTTAATTGCTGATGTTTCCAGGTCCACCCTGACCCGGGGTGGTAGCACCTGTTAGGGTCCCAGCTATGGGAAAATAGTCAACTATAACCAGCAATACTTTTTTGAAAAAAAACATTACCAGCAATACAATTTTGAATCAAATATATTAGCAAAAACATATTTTTGACAAAACAAAATATTACCAGCAATAAAAAATTTTGTCAGCATTAAATAACCCATTGAGATTGATATGCCATAAAACAAAATAAACCAAACCAATCTAAACCAAATAAAATAATACATATTCTATTCATATGAATCTATCCTAAAAATGTTGTCGGCATTAAATAACCCATTGAGATTGATATGCCGTAAAACAAAATAAATCAAATCAATCTAAACCAAATAATACGTATTCTATTCATATGAATCTATCCTAAAAATGTTGTCGGCATTAAATAACCCATTGAGGTTGATATGCCGTAAAACAAAATAAATCAAATCAATCTAAACCAAAGAATACATATTCTATTCATACGAATCTACCCTAAAAATGTCGTCGGCATTAAATAACCCATTGAGGTTGATATGCCGTAAGACAAAATATACCAAACCAATCTAAACCAAAGAATACATATTCTATTCATATGAATCTATCCTAAAAATGTTGTCGACATTAAATAACCCATTGAGGTTGATATGCCGTAAAACAAAATAAACCAAACCAAACCACACCATACAATCAGTATTTTCTTTTTACTCATGTTCACCTCATACAAGGCCCATGAACACCTCAAGATAGAGTGTTACTGAAGGAGGTTGCTGTGTGAGTGGTAAGAATAAGGGACACAGTTTATGAGGATATGTATGAAAGATAACTTTTTTAATCATTTTCACCATTTCACTCCAAGCAAGGTAATAAAGCCACTAAGATACAAGGGCTTACTGAGTGTTAGAGGATATGAAAAAAAATATTAAGGAGAGAGAACATTAAAAGAATGAGAATTAATAAGAGAGAAGTCAACAAATTAACATTGATTAGATTTAGATTTTTAAAGATCAAAATTAAATAGAAAGCAAAAATCTTTCTTGCTCACTGCTGAGCAGCTGGTATACCAAACAGTAATGCAGTACACCAGCACACTCCCAAATGAGCAGTGGTAAAAGGTCACCCATAGCACTCTTGGGAAATTAGTTTTGTTTTTATGATAATTCTCAGTAAATAGCTACTACTGGAGAGCAGGAGAGATCCTCTGCAATGTCCATGCACAGAAACTTAATTTCACCCACACTCTACACACAGTATACAGTTAGCATCTACAGTTCCCCTTCTTCTCAGGATTGCTACTTGCTAGACTAGATTGGAAATTAGGTCTCACTGTTCTACTGTTGAACTAGCTAGATGTAACTGTATGTTCTATTCTGATAGTTTATTTTATTGCACTTCTCACTGAGCAAATCCTCTTCCAGTTCCTCTTGGTTTCTTGGTTCCACCTACAATTTTCAAAAATATAAATGCAACACTAATTGCCATCTTCTGTCTTCCTGAAACCTGTTCTTTTATTGTCCTTTCTCTCACAAAGTCTTCTAATTCTCTTTCACTCCCAGTACCCCTTGCATCTTATTGTCATTATCACCATCTTCTGGCTTTTTGAAACCTGTTCTTTGATTGTCCTTTCTCCTCACTAAAGTCTTCTCATTCTCTTTCACTCTCAATAACCCCTTGCATCTTAGTGGCATTATCGCCATCTTCTGTCTTCCTGAAACTTTTTCTTTTATTGGCCTTTCTCCTCATTAAAATCTTCTCATTTTCTTTCACTCTCAGTAACCCCTTGCATCTTAGTGGCATTATTACCATCTGTCTTCCTGAAACCTCTTCTTTTATTGTCCTTTCTCCTTACAAAACTCTTCTCATTCTTTTTCGCTCCCAGTAACCCCTTGCATTTTATCGACTTGTTTGGGAATCCTCTGCTATGCGCATGGACAGAAATTTAATTTTATCCACCCTCTTCACACAAACTCCATCTTTTACATCAGCTGTCAGTTTGACCTTATCGAACCGACCAGACTTACCATTAAGGCAGGAGTAAGTAGTTGTGTCACCAGCACAGATACGTATTATGAACTGATGCTATCAGGAATGTCATTGATGAAAATTATGGACAATGTAGGTCCAAGGATAGATCCCAAGGGCGGTGTGTGTGTGGGGGGAGGAGGAGGTTGCGCCTGCATTAATGCAAAAAGATCTAGCAGAGGGGCCATTCAGGACAACTTTCAAACTTTCTACCTTCTTTCTACTTTCAAACCCTACACTTGAAGATTGTATTGGTCAGGAAAACTTTGTCTTGTCAAAGAACATGTCTTCTGCTTTGTTATTTCCTTTATCCTTTTTATGTATAACTATGTAGTTGTTCTATTTCTATATTTTTCTTGTTGAGTCATTCACTTTTTGCTTGCTTCTTTTTTTTTTTAAAAATGTATTTGTGTATGACCAGGTATTTTCAATTGGTTTTTCAAGAAATTTTATATCAAATTAATAAAATGGACAAAATCAAAAAAAGCATTATATCTGCTTAATAAATTAGATTTGTCACAAGCTTGTGACACCCAATCAAGTCCAGACTCTCTATTCAGTGAGATCAACTTAGAAGACCACACACACACACACACACACACACACACACACACACACACATATATATATGTGTGTGTGTGGTAGGATGTATAATAGCATTCACAACTATAGTGAAAACAATAAGACAAAGAAAACGATAAGACAAAATTTTTAATCAAAGACGCATTTCGCCACAGAAAAGCTTAGCTGATGTTCTCTTTGGTTTCATCAGTTCAACTAAAATAAGAAATGCAAATCTATGGAAAAGTTATTTTTTGATCTCTGAGGATAAGTTGGGTGTCATAAATCCCATTGTTCTGGCTTCTCATGTGTTTTAGTTTGACATTTGAGGAGAGTCTGTATGTCTCTGTGCTTGTTTTTTTTTTTTTATCTATATCTGTATACATATAAATACCCACATACACATACAACCAATAAACACACCATACATATACATATATATATATATATTCTTACATAGGCGTGCCCACACATACATTCACCCAGGTATATAAAAGTGTTGGAGCCCAATTTTTATTTTTGATATGCATGTATAAATATACATGCTCATTGTTAAGATGTTTAAAGCAAGTTTATTCTCTGAATGCATTCAATCTTCTATTTCACTGTTGTAAAGAAAAAGAAAATGAAAACAGAGTAATCGACTGTTATACAATGTCAGTCAGTTGTGTGCCATACGTAATACATGCTTAGGCGATCATGTATCTTTTTATACATGACTGACGAAGTACATTTTCCATCCAAGCCTATAGAACCCGGTCTGTCCTGCTATTTACCTATAGCTGGGGGGAGAAAAAAAGGATTAATACCTTTTACAAAGGTATTAGCACGTAAGTGAATTTCACTGGAATTCGAACTCGGCTATCCGATTCCTCAATCCAAACTGCTATCCATTACTCCACCGTGCCTCCCATATGATGTCAGTCCTCCTATATGGCATCAAATGCTGGACTATCTCCTCATAGATGAAGAAGAAATTTGAAGCTACAGAAGGATGCTGAGAATACCAAAGACTGAACATGTTAGCAACAATGAAGTTTTGGAGAAAAATGGATTTGTTTGTTTTGTTGTTTTTGTTTAGTGGCATATCAAACCATATGGGTTAGTTAATACGAAAATCTAAATATGAAATTTCAAATTTTATAATTAATTTAAGATAACGACATTATTTCATGATTAAATATAATTACTTAGCTGCATTTTATAAACCAAATAATCTTTCGTCCTGGGTAAGACGATAAACTACATCCAACAGCAAGGCCTCTGATCAGGAGCATGTAATCACCTCAATTGCTGGTGTTCCCAGGTCTACCCTGACCTGGGGTGGTAGCACCTGTTAGCATCCCAGCTGTGGGCAAATAGTTAACCCTTAAACTGGGGTAAAAACGTGTAAAAATAGGTTTTAATACCAGCAATATATTTTTGTAAAAAATTATTACTTGCAATAAATTTTTGAAGAAAAATTATTACCAGCAATACATTATTACCAGCAATACTTTTTTAAAAAAAAAAAAATATTGCCAACAATACATTGAAAAAATAATTAACATCAATATGTTTCTGAAAAAAGAAATATTACCAGAAATACTTTTTGAAAAAAATATTACCAGCAATAAAAATCTTGCTGTTGGATGTAGTTTATTGTTTTACGCCGGACAGGGATGTAGTTTATCGTCATACCCAGGATGCTACAAATTATGAGTACTTTAAAAAATTTGGGATAACAAAACACCCCATGTGACTAATACAGGATTAACCTAACAAAAAAAGCATTTTCTTTTTAAATCTGATTTCAGACTGTAGCATTTTCGCACCAGCATTTAGCCATGATTATGACGGAAGATATCTAAATGTGACATTTTCGAAAGGACCTGACAAATGTAATTATCGAAAATATGAAATTGGTGTGTACAAAAGCGAAAGCAAGAATAAAATAGCAGAGATCATTGTCCCGACCCAGGTAAGTAGTTCTAATTTATAACTCAGAAATTATAAAAACTAGAAATACCTGGGAAAATTTAATGGTTTTCCTATTTTACTTTTCTGACGAATCTTAATTCTTCAATTAATGATTGAATAAGCTCATGGCAAGTTCTATGACAATAAAATCATCCATAGAAATTCTATCACATTCTTAAATATTTGAGCTTAACAACTTTAAGAAAATATTACTATAACAATCATAATATGAATGCTGATCATTATTTTAAGAAGTAAGAGGGTACAAATGAAAAGATTTGAAATTGACCATTTCTTCCATTTCAGGCTGGTAAACCCTCCTATCTTAACCTTTTAATTATTTTTTTCACTGAAACCAAGTAGAATCTCTGATATGCCTTTTGTATTTCCATGCAATCAAAATGGAACAGATCCAAATGAGATATTGGCAGGGCGTAATGGTTGTGCAAACTAAGGAAGTGAGGGACAAGCACAATTATTATGATTATTTCTCTTCTAACTTCTCTTTATTATCACCAGTTTTTTCTTACAACATTACTAGTTTTTTATTTGATTTAATTTAAGTAGTTTTAACCTTTGAAAATTCCACGGTTTTCCTATTTTAATTTCCTGATGAATCTTAATTTTTTAGTTGCTGATTGTATAAACTCATGGTGAGTTCTATGACAATAAAATATCCACAGAAATTCTCCTATCGCTTCATTAAATATTTAAGTTTAACAATCATAAATATGAATGCTGGTCATTATTTTAAGAAGTAAGGGGATACAAATGAAAAGATTTGAAATTGACAACTTTTTTTATTTCACTGAAACAGTTGTTAAACACTTCTATCTTTTCTTCCATTTTCTGACTGAAGCCAAGTAGCATGTTTGAAATGTCTTTTGTCTTCTCACAAAATCAAAATGGAATAGTCCATTATTTATGAGATATTGACGGGGTGTAACAATCATTATTATTATTACTTATTTCTGCCCGTGAAAATTTAATGGTTTTTCCTAATTAATTTTCTGTTGAATCTTAATTCTTAAGTTAATGATTGAATAAGCTCATAGTGAGTTCTATAACAATAAAATATCCGTAGAAATTCCCCTGTCGCTTCATTAAATATTTAAGTTAAATATGAATGTCGGTTATTATTTTTTCTTTAGGCAGATGATTAACAAGAATGGAAATGAGATAAGTATAAACAAAATGTGATTTTTGAGCACGTTTTCATGTGTGTACATGTATATGTCTCAGTGAGTGGAAACAAATCATCTTATTATAAAACGCAGATTGTGTGTGTGTGTGTGTGTGTGTGTCTGTAACGTTTATATATTGGATCGGATTTCCTACATTTTTCAACCGATTTCAACAAAACTTCACAGGACTACATAAAATTACCTTGTGGTGGTTCTAACAGCGCCAAAAATGGGAAAAATATAATTGTTTTTGCACAAAATCAATTTGAAAACACGATTAAGAGACATCGTGAAAATGGAAGGGAGACAACTCACATCGGGTTGTTTGTGTTGTGTGTGTGGGTTCCTTTAAATATGGGAGCGGATTTCCTATTTTTTCAGCCGATAAAACAAAACTTCACTTTTTTTTTTTTTGCAGGTAGTGTTTCTTATTCTCTTGCACACTTTTTTTTTTTATTTTTAACATTCAGAATGCTTTAAAAAATTCCATTTACAAGACAATTATTTATAATAAAATTCTATTCAATTGGGAGACTCATAACGATTGAAAACAATGTTTTTGTTTGAGTTTGGGTTTGACCAATTCGTTTAAGACATGCGTGTCCGTCAACCTTAAACAATAATCTAACGATCTCTACTGATTGTACGAATACAAACATCGGATAAATTCTTTATCTTTAGGGAAAGATAATGAAATCTAAACATACACAAGTCCTAACTAAAAATAATAACCGGAACGGGAAACTACTTTAAATACACATGGTGTCCAATTTTTTTACTGTATTCAATAAGTAAAAATCATAAATTGTAAAAAATTATTATTACAGAAAGGCTACTAAATGAATAAAATTTGTTAGATCATAATTAATAAACCCAAATAAAGTTAATATTTTTTGTATTAGAAACAACGAATGGAAAATATATTCAAATCAGAATTCTAATTATGAATCACCACAAGCAAAATATGCAATTTTTTTTAACTGTATTCAATAAGTAAAAATCATAAATTGTAAAACTAAAAGATTACAGAAAGGCTACCTACATTTTCAACCGATTTCAACAAAACTTCACTTTTTTTTTTTTGGCATGTAGTGTTTCTTATTGTCTTGCACACTTTTTCTTTATTTTTACATTCAGAATGCTTTAAAAATTCCATTTACAAGACAATTGTTTATAATAAAATTCTATTCAATCGGTAGACTCATAACGATTGAAAACAATGATTTGTTTGAGTTTGGGTTTGACCAATTCGTAAAAAAAAAAAACTAATTAAGACATGCGTGTCCGTCAACCTTAAACAATAATCTTTGTCAATTTTATTTTTCAGTCTTTATGATGGTGGATCATTGATCTATCTCTTACTGTTATATCCCCGGGCAACGCTGGGCTCTACTGCTAGTTATTTACTACTTCAAGCCGAGCATGCCACCATGTTCCTTATCAGATAGAAACTGTGGTTGTGTTTGCTTCCTTTTTTAATGGAAGATCAAAACACAAAGGAAGCCTAGTTATCCAGGATTGGGCCATAAATTGTCAAGAGAAGTTGCAGTGTGTGTCTGGGAGGATGGAAAAAATTGTAGCTAATGAAAGTTACACAAGTTGATACCCGATCAGTATTGGCTGAGTCACCATGGAGAGGGGGTATGATTTTGAAAGACCTGAAACTCCCAATGAACCTTGACTAGAAACATCACTGATGATGTACACCAAAGCACCTAATAGATGTATTTTACGATATTGGTTATTATTTTAAGAAGTGGGTAGAAATGAAAAGATTTGAAAGTAACAACTTTTTCCATTTCACTTAAACACTTCTTTCTTTCTTTCTTTCTTTCTTTCTTTCTTTCTTAAACCAAGTAGCGTCTCTGATATGTGTTTTGTTTTTCCATGCAATCAAAATGGAATACAGTAGTCCATTATTTATGAGGTATTGGCAAGAGACGTTAAACACTTTTATCTTGCCTTGTTTGTTTGTTTGTTTCAGTCATTGTCTAACTGAAGCCAAGTAGTGTTTTCCTTCCTGCCATAGGACCAAAACAGAATAGTCCATTATTTATTTGGTGTTGAAACGGCATAACGGTCATGCAAACTAGTGAAGGGAGGGACAAGCACAATTATAATAAGATAATTTATTAACTATAATTCATAAGTTAGAGATGATTATATATGCACAAATATATTAATAAATCTGTAGTTTAATAATGAAAAAAAATATTTTACACAATAAATACCAATGTTAGACATGCACTGTTGGTGGGACCCAGAATACACTGACTGCACTCTTTGCAGAAGGATGACACAATATCTCTCAAAAAGGAGTCACGCACCAAATAGAAAATTAGAGAATCAAGTAAAAATGATCAGTAAAGAACAATAGATTTAAGGATGAACAACCTGGATTTATCTATAGATTCAAGTAAAAACAAAAAAATAATTAAGTATAGACTCAAGAATAAATGACCAATTCTTACTTATAGACTTAAGTTTAAACAATTAATATTTACATATAGACTCAAGTACAAATGACTAAAATTTAAGTATAGAATCAAGTATAAGCGACTAATAATTAAGTATAGACTCAAGTACAAATGACTAAATTTTACTCATAGACTCATGTAAACGAACTAATAATTAAGTATATTTTCATGTATAAATGACCAAATTTTACATATAGAGTCATGTAAAATCACTAATGGTTGACTATAGTATGCTATACAAATAACTAAATTTTACTTAGAGACTCAAGTATAAATTACTAATAACTAAGTATAGACTCAAGTAGAAATTACAAAATTTCACCTATAGATTCAAACAACTAATATTTACTTATAGACCCAAGTTAAATGACCAATGTTTACTTATAATACACTCAAGTATAAATAACTAATGTTTTCTCACAGACTCAATATGAATATAAACAAATAATAATAAGTACAAATGACTAAATTTTACATATGGACTCAAGTATAAATAACTAATTTTTAAGTATAGACTGAAGTATAAAATAATAAAATTTTTACGCCTATCTTCAAGTATAAGCAACAAATATCAAGTGCAGACTCAGGTACAAATGACTAAATTTTACCTACAGACTCACGTATAAACAACTAATAATTAAGTATAGACCCAAGTACAAATGACTAAATTTTACCTATTGACTCAAGTATAAACAACTAATAATTAAGTATAGTCTCAAGTACAAATGATAAAATTTTACCTATATTCCCATGTATAAACAAATAATAATTAAGTATAGAATCAAGTGTAAATGAATAAACTTTAACTATAGACTCATATATAAACAACCAATGATTACTTATAAACTCAAGTATAAATGACAAATGTTTAGCTACAGACTCAAGTATAAAAAATTATTTATGTATAGACTCAAGTATAAATGACCGATGTTTACTTAGTGTCTCAAGTAGAAATAACCAATGTTTACCTATAAACTCAAATATAAATGACCAATGTTTGCCTACAGACTCAAGTATAAACAACTAATAATAAGTATAGACTCAAGTACAAATGACCAAATTTTACCCATAGCCTCAAGTATAAACAACTAGTAATTAAGTATATACTTATAAACCAATGACCAATGTTTACCTATACACTCAAATATAAATGACCAATGTTTACCTATAGTCACAAGTATAAATGATGAATATTTACTTATAAACTTAAGTATAAGTGACCAATGTTTAACCACAGACTCAAGTATAAAAACTAATATTTAAGTACAGACTCAAATATATATGATCAATGTTTGCCCATGGATCGTGTTAAAATTAATTTTTGCCCATTTAACGTGTTAAAATTGTTCAACTTTTGCTTTTGTTCATGCTATGTCTTGAAAAACACGATATAAAATTCACTAATTTTTAGCCCATAATGTTAAAATTATTCAACTTTTTATCAAGAAAAATCTGAAGTTCATGTTAAAAATTCCTGTAAAACGTTGATGACTTATTTATGCACCGGTACTGAGTCAGATTAGCTGTCGACGTAACTGTCCGAGTTAACGTAGTCAGAAGAATCATTAGGGAATTATCCTGTGTTTATTTCCTGTTGTATGAAAACTCTTTTCATAAGAGGCTGTATTTTTTTTTGTGTGTAGATAAAGGACAAAATGTCAAGTCGTCTGTCCATGTTATAATCAGTGTAGCATCTGGATGTAATAGTCTGAGTTGAAGTAGTAAGAGGAGTCATTAAGAAATCTTTCTGTATCTATTTCATGTTGTACAGAAAATGTCTTTATAAGAAACTCGACTAAAAAGGGGAGAAAAATTTCTTTTTGTAAATCGCTTTATTTGCTTTCTTTTCCGTTTCTTTTTCTTTGTGGTCAAGTTGAATATTTTACAAGTTCACTCCCCCACCCAAGAAAACTTTCCTAAGACTGTTAAAATATCAATATCTCTCTAATCTGCAAGTATTTTCTCTTTCAATTAGGATAATGTGAAAAATCTCCATGCATTCACTGAACTGAAAATTTCCAAAGGGTATTATCATCTTATGGTAAGTATTTTGAGACCAAATGTCTCCATTTTGCCTTGGTTCCATTTTGTTTTGAGGTTTTAACAAGTAGATTGCATCATTATTTTTTAAAGAGTCAAATATTTTTCATTATTTTAAAAAATAATGCCATTTTTGAAAATTAAATCCAATGCAGCGAAATGCAGTATTTGATGTGACAGCAATGTTCAAGAACATGTGATGATGTGTGCATCAAAACACTCTTCTTATTAACAGGAGTTGAGGTATATACATTGTTTCCTGTATGGGATTGGTTTTTCGGTTCCGCCTAATGTCTTCCAATAGCCCCCTTGAGTTTTAGTGGCATTATTGCCTTCTTTGGGGTGAACTGCTTTAAAAAACGACCTGAGTCGAAAGCTTCGGCTAAAAAGCATGAATTTTGACCATTTACATTTACGAAAGGACATTAGAAGAAAAAAGTTTCACCCAATTTAATAGACATATATACCTACTTACAACCACATCCGGTGTAACTTAAATTCTTTTTCACTCGCTTACGGTCACATCACGATCATCGAAGTTAAGAAACGTCGAGTCTGGTCAGCACGTAGATGGGTGACCACTTGGGAATACCATGTTCTGTAAGTTTGGATGTGCGGCTGGTGTAATGGATACTGGTTTGGAATTGTTAATCGGAGAGATGAGTTCCAATTCCAGTTGGGTTACTTATATTCTCTTACACGTGAATACTCTCGGGAAATGTATGAAGCCAATTTTTATCCCTCGAGATATGGGTTAATTAGTAAGACTTGTATCACGAAACCATCATTACCCCCCAAAATCTTAAAATCTAATTTAAAATTTCTGGCTTTAAATAACCTGCAAAGGGATGATAAGCCGTAAAAACGAATCAATCAAAAAAAAAAAAAATCTTTACTCTCACACAAAAGATCCCCAAATCAATATACGGGTAACTACTAAACTTAGATGAAAATATCAACTAGACGCTCATACGTACACACGCACGCAAATGAATACACATTACCATGCGAATCCCGTATGAACCAACTAGAATTATGATGCACACATACACACACTCTCACACACACACACTCTCACACACACATATGAATTATACACTCCAACGCTGCTTAACAGGCCAGATACACATTTGTTCTTTATCCTATCCCCCCACATACACGCACAACACGTGCAAACACACACACACACACACACACACACACACACACACACACACACACACACACACACACACACACACACACACACACAGTTCTGGGTATGACGATAAACGACATCCGGCAGCAACTCCTCTGATCGGGAGATCGGATGAACGTGGAAGCATCTCTTAATTGCTGTTATTCTCAGATTCACCCTGATCCGGGGTTGCAGCATCTGTTAGGGTCCCAGCTATGGGCAAGTAAAGAACCCCCAAACAGAGCGAAAATATAAAAATACATTTTTTATAAAAAATGACCAACAACACATTTTATAGTAGAATGACCAACAATACATTTTTAAATGCAGAATTACCAAAAGTACATTTTTATAGCAAAATGACCAGCAATACACTCTATCTGTAGATAAGGCAAGCAAATGCGTTCAAAATATTTAGATTTCGGCCCTAAATAACGCATAGAGGTGCTGATATGCTGTTGAACAAAATTAACCAGTCAACCAAAATGTGTGTCTATATATATATATATATATATATATATAGTCGAATACATTACTTTCTCTTATGTGCTAGTGACCTTGGGAAAGGTATGAATTCTCTTCTTCTCCCCCTGCTGTGGGTAAATAGCAGGGCAGACTGGGTTCAATAGCCTTGGATGTCAACTGGTCTAGGAGAAGGACAACTCTGAATTCAAAACCTGCAGAGGGACGTTTAGGGACCTTGTGGCACGTAGTGCACCAGGTCTCTGTATTCGGCTCTTCAAAAGGATGGTTGGCTCTGCATAAAGCCTTAACTGCTATATCAAATCATATGTTCACGTGTGTGGCTGTCGGTTCCTAGGAACTGAGTTGCTTGACCTTCATACGTCGAGTACAACGGGAGAGTACAATATATATATATATATATTTTCTCTTAATTAAACCCCTCCTCCCATATCTCCTAAAATTCTCTCCGTTAAGGTTTAATCTCCCTCCTCCTCATTCTTACACTCTCTCTAAATTCTGTTTTTATTTCCGGAGTTGGGTTTTTTTCTGTTTTCTTTTTGAATTTGTAGGTCTGATGAATTGGATCGTATTTACGATTCCAATGCAATAAATTATGACCATGGAATATTAGTGTTTAAGCCTTTTTATTATATCCTTACTCTGTCCTAGACATTGAGTTCTACCTGGATTCTTCCTCTTGGAATTTTTTTCTGAAAATATACATGTATGGGTATTTATATATTTTGCATATGTATGTATATTTTCCACTAATATTATCTATCTATCTATCTATCTATCTATCTATCTATCTATATATATATATATATATATATATATATATACTTAAAAAGGATGTGGCCCCAAACTTTTGGGGCCTCTCCCAGGATTTAATAATTAGTAAGTTGGTTACCTTTTTTGATTTAGTGAACTCCTACTAAACTAAGATGCTGAAATTATTTAACTCATTAGTGTATGCCATCCAAATGTTTAGAGATAGGGGTTACTTAAAATTAAAGATCTGCCAGCCTTAACATTATCATTATCCAGCAAGGTAGATTAGGCAAAAAAGATATAATTTTAAGGAAGCTTTATATAGTAATGGGTTAATTTCATTATTATTATTGAATATATGTGAAAACTGCTTCAGGAAGAGAAAATCCCTTTGGCCTGAAGAGAGCTGGTAAATTGTTCTGGGTAGACTGTTCTAGTTCCACGTGTCATGTCGAATGGATGTCAGTTATCTCCTGTTAATTCCCCTCACCAAGTTCTTCACCGCCATAACCAGGTATTGAACTCACAACTCTTTCGGTCCTGTCATGGGATCTAACCAACGCCAGTATCCACTGCGAGCGAACTAGAGGGTTCAGTTCAACATTCCAACTACCTGAAGAAGTCCGGAGCGTACAATGGCCGAAACGCTGTGATAAATATGGCAACAAAGATGAGGACGATAGTCCGAACAATGTAAATAGTGTACATAATACCTCATCTCAGAAATATAAACAGATACTGAAGGATCAGATAAATATGGCAACAATGAGGAGGAGAATAGTCCGAATAATGTAAATAGTATACATAATACCTCATCTCAGAAATATAGACAGATACTGGTAAATTAGTTTTGAAAAAAAGCATGCAACGTTTAAATTTTAGGCGATTTTTCCATTTCCCTAGTACTTTCGAACTTCTACCGAGGTCATCTTCAGAGATCGAAAGTACCTGGGAAATAAAAACAATTTTCATAGTTATAGCACATTTCCCACATCATTTAATTGCAATACACGGAAGGTTATCCGTGAGTATGAACGGATTTTATTAAAAATAAGCAGACATAGTGTCTGTAATTTATTTAATCTTTAATCAGACAACCATAAAAGAGAGTTTGCTGCCTAAACACACACACACACACACACACACACACAAACACACAAATATATATATATATATATATATATATATATATATATATATATATATATATATATGAGGAATTGCCACTTGTCAATAATTAAGGTTAGGCAGAATACAGTGTTAATTTATGCATTAAAAGAGATAATTATAATATAATTTTAATAATTATTATAAATACTGAAATTGTAGGTAAACTTGTTCACTGAGATTGTTTTGCTTGTGCAAACAACCTTAATTAACTAAAGACAGTATGTTCAAATTTTGCGATTGTGTTGTCGTTTCCTTCTACGGTAACATCTAAAAATACAGAAATTGAAACAAGTTTTTTGCAGTTGTGAAGCTAACATATACATTAAAAGGGGAATAATAGTTCTAAATAATGCAGAGTGTTAAAGGTTAAATCCTTAATTTTTTAATTATTATTTTCAGCTCAGTGTGTTTGAAGAGAATGCTAATTCTTGTACCTGCCGAAACAAACAAAATCAGTGTCGGAATTGTAAGTACAAAAATTCTCAACCAGAATATATGATTGCAGGTTAGTTATGTTTTCATTTTTTTTGTTTAACACATTAACCTGCTTTTAATTCATCAATTTCAGGCCTTGAGCGTTTATTAACAACACCGAAGTATCTCGGTTGTCATAGGAACAACATTTCAAGTCTTTTCTACGAGTCTGCATCAGTTCGTAACATTCTGAGAAATTCCATATCATTTTCATTATTCATTTTATGCCTGTGGATGTTGTAATATGTGATTCACGCCAGGAAATGCCAGAAATCAAAACTGAATTTAATGTCAATAAATAAGCCTTTGTGCCGAGATGAGTTGATCTGTGGCGACCCCTAAAAATACTGGGCTCACTAAGTAAGACATACCAAAGTAGGCTTTGCACTTGATGTTACCCTCGAAATATCAAAAGATGATTCTGGTTGTGATAATTTACATTCACTTTGTATTAATTTAATGTCAATAAATAAGCCTTTGTGCTGAGATGAGTTGATCTGTGGCGACCCCTAAAAATACTGGGCTCACTGTAAGTCATACCAAAGTAGGCTTTGCAAGATCAAAAGATGATTGTGGTTGTGATAATTTACATTCACTTTGTATTAATTTAATGTCAATAAATAAGCCTTTGTGCTGATGTGTGTTGATCTGTGGCGACCCCTAAAAATACTGGGCTCACTGTAAGACATACCAAAGTAGGCTTTGCACTTGATGTTACCATCAGAATATCAAAATGATTCTCGTTTGGATAATTTACATTCACTTTGTATTAATTTAATGTCAATAAATAAGCCTTTGTGCTGAGATGAGTTGATCTGTGGCGACCCTAAAAATACTGGGCTCACTGTATGTCATACCAAAAGTTCTTTTTTATTGATGTTACCCTCGAAATATCAAAAGATGATTGTGGTTGTGATAATTTACATTCACTTTGTATTAATTTAATGTCAATAAATAAGCCTTTGTGCTGAGATGTGTTGATCTGTGGCGACCCCTAAAAATACTGGGCTCACTGTAAGACATACCAAAGTAGGCTTTGCACTTGATGTTACCATCGGAATATCAAAGGATGATTCTCGTTTGGATAATTTACATTCACTTTGTATTAATTTAATGTCAATAAATAAGCCTTTGTGCTGAGATGAGTTGATCTGTGGCGACCCCTAAAAATACTGGGCTCACTGTAAGTCATACCAAAGTAGGCTTTGCACTTGATGTTACCCTCGAAATATCAAAAGATGATTGTGGTTGTGATAATTTACATTCACTTTGTATTAATTTAATGTCAATAAATAAGCCTTTGTGCTGAGATGAGTTGATCTGTGGCGACCCCTAAAAATACTGGGCTCACTGTAAGACATACCAAAGTAGGCTTTGCACTTGATGTTACCATCGGAATATCAAAAGATGATTCTGGTTGTGATAATTTACATTCACTTTGTATTAATTTAATGTCAATAAATAAGACTTTGTGCTGAGATGAGTTGATCTGTGGCGACCCCTAAAAATACTGGGCCCACTGTAAGACATACCAAAGTAGGCTTTGCACTTGATGTTACCCTCGAAATATCAAAAGATGATTGTGGTTGTGATAATTTACATTCACTTTGTATTAATTTAATGTCAATAAATAAGCCTTTGTGCTGAGATGAGTTGATCTGTGGCGACCCCTAAAAATACTGGGCTCACTGTAAGTCATACCAAAGTAGGCTTTGCACTTGATGTTACCCTCGAAATATCAAAAGATGATTGTGGTTGTGATAATTTACATTCACTTTGTATTAATTTAATGTCAATAAATAAGCCTTTGTGCTGAGATGTGTTGATCTGTGGCGACCCCTAAAATACTGGGCTCACTGTAAGACATACCAAAGTAGGCTTTTGTTGATGTTACCATCGGAATATCAAAGGATGATTCTCGTTTGGATAATTTACATTCACTTTGTATTAATTTAATGTCAATAAATAAGCCTTTGTGCTGAGATGAGGTTGATCTGTGGCGACCCCTAAAAATACTGGGCTCACTGTAAGTCATACCAAAGTAGGCTTTGCATGATGTTACCCTCGAAATATCAAAAGATGATTGTGGTTGTGATAATTTACATTCACTTTGTATTAATTTAATGTCAATAAATAAGCCTTTGTGCTGAGATGAGTTGATCTGTGGCGACCCCTAAAATACTGGGCTCACTGTATAGACATACGAAAGTAGGCTTTGCACTTGATGTTACCATCGGAATATCAAAAGATGATTCTGGTTGTGATAATTTACATTCACTTTGTATTAATTTAATGTCAATAAATAAGCCTCTGTGCTGAGATGAGTTGATCTGTGGCGACCCCTAAAAATACTGGGCTCAAAGTAAGACATACCAAAGTAGGCTTTGCTTTGTTACCCTCGAAATATCAAAAGATGATTGTGGTTGTGATAATTTACATTCACTTTGTATTAATTTAATGTCAATAAATAAGCCTTTGTGCAGAGATGAGTTGATCTGTGGCGACCCCTAAAAATACTGGGCCCACTGTAAGACATACCAAAGTAGGCTTTGCACTTGATGTTACCCTCGAAATATCAAAAGATGATTGTGGTTGTGATAATTTACATTCACTTTGTATTAATTTAATGTCAATAAATAAGCCTTTGTGCTGAGATGAGTTGATCTGTGGCGACCCTAAAAATACTGGGCTCACTGTAAAGTCATACCAAAGTAGGCTTTGCTTGATGTTACCCTCAAGAAATATCAAAAGATGATTGTGGTTGTGATAATTTACATTCACTTTGTATTAATTTAATGTCAATAAATAAGCCTTTGTGCTGAGATGTGTTGATCTGTGGCGTAAAATTGGGCTCACTGTTTCCAAAGTTTTTGCACTTGATGTTACCATCGGAATATCAAAAGATGATTCTGGTTGTGATAATTTACATTCACTTTGTATTAATTTAATGTCAATAAATAAGCCTCTGTGCTGAGATGAGTTGATCTGTGGCGATAATACTGGGCTCACTGTAAGACATACCAAAGTAAGGCTTTGCAATGTTACCATCGGAATATCAAAAGATGATTCTGGTTGGGATAATTTACATTTTTGTATTAATTTAATGTCAATTAATTTGTACTGAGATGAGTTGATCTGTGGCCTAAAATACTGGGCTCACTGTAAGTCATACCAAAGGGCTTTGCACTTGATGTTACCCTCGAAATATCAAAAGATGATTGTGGTTGTGATAATTTACATTCACTTTGTATTAATTTAATGTCAATAAATAAGCCTTTGTGCTGAGATGTGTTGATCTGTGGCGACCCTAAAAATACTGGGCTCACTGTAAGACATACCAAAGTAGGCTTTGGCATCGGAATATCAAAGGATGATTCTCGTTTGGATAATTTACATTCACTTTGTATTAATTTAATGTCAATAAATAAGCCTTTGTGCTGAGATGAGTTGATCTGTGTTAAAAATACTGGGCTCACTGTGTTATAGCAAAGTAGGCTTTGCACTTTTCGAAATATCAAAAGATGATTGTGGTTGTGATAATTTACATTCACTTTGTATTAATTTAATGTCAATAAATAAGCCTTTGTGCTGAGATGTGTTGATCTGTGGCGACCCCTAAAAATACTGGGCTCACTGTAAGACATACCAAAGTAGGCTTTGCACTTGATGTTACCATCGGAATATCAAAGGATGATTCTCGTTTGGATAATTTACATTCACTTTGTATTAATTTAATGTCAATAAATAAGCCTTTGTGCTGAGATGAGTTGATCTGTTTCGACCCCTAAAGGTATTGGGCTCACTGTAAGACATACCAAAGTAGGCTTTGCACTTGAACCCTCGAAATATCAAAGATGATTGTGGTTGTGATAATTTACATTCACTTTGTATTAATTTAATGTCAATAAATAAGCCTTTGTGCAGAGATTTGATCTGTGGCGACCCCAAAAATACTGGGCCCACTGTAAGACATACCAAAGTAGGCTTTGCACTTGATGTTACCCTCAGAATATCAAAGATGATTGTGGTTGTGATAATTTACATTCAAACTGTATTAATTTAATGTCAATAAATAAGAGATGAGTTGATCTGTGGCGACCCTAAAAATACTGGGCTCACTGTAAGTCATGCCAAAGTAGGCTTTGCAATGTTACCCTCGAAATATCAAAAGATGATTGTGGTTGTGATAATTTACATTCACTTTTATTAATTTAATGTCAATAAATAAGCCTTTGTGCTGAGATGTGTTGGATCTGTGGCGACCCCTAAAATACTGGGCTCACTGTAAGTCATACCAAAGTAGGCTTTGCAAAATATCAAAAAGATGATTCTGGTTGTGATAATTTACATTCACTTTGTATTAATTTAATGTCAATAAATAAGCCTCTGTGCTGAGATGATTGATCTGTGGCGACCCCTAAAAGGTACTGGGCTCACTGTAAGACATTAGGCTTTGCACTTGATGTTACCATCGAATATCAAAAGATGATTCTGGTTGGTATAATTTACATTCACTTTGTATTAATTTAATGTCAATAAATAAGACTTTGTACTGAGATGAGTTGAAAAAATACATCACTGAACATACCAAAGTAGGCTTTGCACTTGATGTTACCATCGGAATATCAAGGATGATTCTCGTTGGGATAATTTACATTCACTTTGTATTAATTTAATGTCAATAAAAAGCCTTTGTGCTGAGATGAGTTGATCTTTTACTGGGCTCACTGTAAGACATACCAAAAGTATATCAAAAGATGATTCTCGTTGGGATAATTTACATTCACTTTGTACTAATTTCTTTTGGAAAGCATGAAAATTATGTTAATAGAAGTTCCTTGTAAGGCAGTTTCTTGGGATTTGGTAATTCAGGGATTAATATGAAAATAAAACCTATCTCATGTTATTTCGAGAAGCGATGGAATCATATAATGAAAGGTAAATGCCTGGCATCACATGCCTAGTAAATCATGAATAATGTCCAATATTTAGCATATTTTAATGTTCATTTACACAATCTTCAGGAAAATGAACTGTTTTACTCGTCTATTTGTAGCTTATAAACCGTTTTCGTTTATTGATAAGTTGATGACTGTTTTTCATTACTAAGGGGGGCAAAAATTACGTTTGAAATATGAACATTGTTTCTCTTTATTATCATTAATAAGTGTGCATCCGATGGTCAAAATTATGTTAGAAATATGCTTTCCAGACCTTTAACTTTTGATATCATGTAACCTAGTGAAACCTGAACAGCACTAAAGTGTTTTGGTTGATATAGTTACAAAATTTCAGACTTTTCTATGTGTTCCTATCAGTTGGTAACCTGTTGCGAAATCCAGAATCAATTTCTTTATTCAATTTACATATCTAGATTTTTAATATGTAATTCACGCCAGAAAATACTAGAAACCAGAAGAGAAATTAATACCAATAATAATTGTTCCGAGAGGAGTTGATCTATGGTGACCTCAAAACTGTCACCGTAAGAGATACCAAAGTGGGCTTTGCACTTGGTGTCACCTAATCAACATCAAAAGAGATACATCAGAAGGTTGATCTGGTGGAAGCTTCCCCCATAGCCATCGGATGCAGAATCGGGTCTCAAAATATGTCATTGGCTACTGCGAAATTAGAGCAGGTCGATTTTAGAAGCCTGAGATTGCACTCAGCTTGAAAATTGAGATTTGAGATGATAATTAAAGACACAAAATATATTTTCCCAAATTGTTACCATTTTTTGGGAAAACAAGTTTAAAGATAAATTTTAGGTTCAAAATCGTAGCGTTGGAATTTCATTCCGATGATCAGCGAAAGCCTTATAAAATTTATAGTTTTCTGAAGCTTTACAAATTGTATATACACAAGATGCATGACACAAGTAAATTATTAGTAAATTATTGCGCCATCAAATAAGACCTTCATTTGCTTCAAAGGGAAATTATACTTAACAATGTAGCTACCAAGCGTAGTTTATATGTGGCATGAACAATGTAGCTATATTGTGATGTAAGATGTCATACAGTGCAGTAGTTTAAGTGTGATTTTCAATAAACAATGAAAATTTTAAACATTTTGACTTATAATGTGTGCCCAGTAGTGTTATATACACTTTTATCTACTTTTTGTTTTTATTAATTATGATCTAACAAATCCTATTCATTGAGTAGCCATTTTGTAATCGTTTACAGTTTTTTTTTTACACAGTTTTTACTTATCGAATACAGTAAAGAAATGCATATTTTGCTTGTGGTAATTCATAATTAGAATTCTGGTTTGAATATATTTTCTATTCAATGTATATAATACAAAAGATATCAATTTTATTTAGATTTATTCTTGAAATATTAAGATTTTGAAGTCAGTTTGTAAGCAAAATCTGCAGAAATTAGGTATTTCTGTACATGTTTCAGATGATATTTAAAACTAGATGCTCAAAAATTGGGGAAAGATATCAATCGAATTTTTAGTGTCAGTACTTATCACATAAGACTAAAGCTTTTCTTCTGAGTGCAATGTTGATTTTCTAAAGAAGTAAAAAAAAAAATCAACCTGCCCCACTGCGATATATAAAAATGAACATCTCTATTGAGATTCTAAGATGGTAAATTATGAGTGATCAAAATTCATATCTTGTTTGATGAATGTCTCTCAGTTACTACAATGTATTATTTGCCATCTTTTATTTTTCACGATTATGAAAAACATCAAATAATGTCAGGCCATATTGAAGGAGGGAGAGGTAGAGGGAAACTGAGTAATCTACATAATCTACAAAGGATAGGAAGTGGTAGAGAGCCGTGACCGACTTACCTAAGGAACTTGTGTAAATGGATGGCAGGGCAGGAACTGGGAAAAGACAGTAAGGAGACAAATATTGCCTAGGGCTACAAAGGATAGGAAGTGGTAGAGAGCCATGACCGACTTACCTAAGGAACTTGTGTAAATGGATGGCAGAATGGGGTCTGGAAAAGATAAGTAAGCAGACAAATATTGCTTAGAGCTACAAAGGATAGGATGTTGTGGAGAGCCCTGACTGACCTACCTAAGAAGCTTGTGTAAATGGATGGCAGAACAGTATCTGGGAGGGATAGTAAGGAGACACATATTGCTTAAAGCTACAAAGGATGGAAGTTGTAGAGAGCTGTGACCGACCTATCTAAAGAGCTTGTGTAAATGGATTTGCAGGACAGGGACTGAGAGAGATAGTAAGGAGACAAATATTGCTTATATCACCTTACCTAACCAGCTTGTGTGAACAGTTATCAGGACAGGAACTGGTAGCGATAGTAAGGTGATAAATATTGGTTAGAGCTACAAAGGATAGGAAGTTGTGGAGAGCTATAATCAACCTATTTAATAAACTTGTGTAAATGGATGGCAGAACAGGAACTTGGTGAGATAATAAGAAAACAAATATTGCGTAAAGTTACAAATCATAGGAAGTTGTGGAGAGCCATTTTCATTCACGGCTTGAAGAGACACAGCATGTAAAATAGATGAATTTACTATTAGTTTTAATCATATTGTTGCTATCATACACACTTCATTATTACTATTACTTTATTACTAGTTTTATTCCATCTTAATTTTTATTCCTACACTCTGGTTCAATAGACACTTGATTTTTACTATTGTTTTGTTACTAGTTTTATTCCATCTTATTATTGTTGCTTTTTATCTGAACAATCTGGCTCTATACACTCTTCATTATTACTATTATCAGATTACATTAATATTTAAGACTGACAACGATATATTTTTAACTTAGATTCTTTTAATTCACTTAAAATTTTGTTTTTGTGTCTCGTAACACATTTGTTAAAAAACATTATTTTTTTAAATGTTCTCTTTTAACAATGACTGATTGCACAAAATGCTGAGGCAACATTAGACACTATATCTCTATATATGTCTATATCTCTGAGATGAGGTATTATGATTACTTAAATTATTTACATTATTCGGATTGTTATCTTCATCTTCATTCACAACGTTTCGGCCGTTGTACGCTCCGACGTTCTTCAGGTGATTGAAAACCAAACCGAACCCGAATCTAGCCGGGGGAGAGTGTTCTAGTTCCACGTGCCATACCTCTTCCGGATGTCTCAGTTATTTCCCTTTAATTCAACTCTCCAAGTTTGGTTCACCGCTGCGCTGTGGCCCAGTATTGAACTCACAACTCTTTCGGTCTAGTCACTGGATCTAACCAACGTCTTTATCCACTGGGCCATGTGTCCTTGAGTGGATAAAGACGCTGAATTAGATGCAGTGACTAGGAATAATGAGTTCAAGTTTGGCACACCACAACAGTGGTGTACCAAACCTTGAGAGTTGAGTTAAAGGGAAATAACAGACATCTGGAAGAGGCATGGCCCGTGGAACTAGAATAATCTAACCCCCCCGGTGGACGAAATAAAGGGTTCGCGTCGAAATTCCAGTCACCGGAAGAAGGCCGGCGCGTACAACGGCCGACACGTTGTGAATATGACAATCAAGATGAGGATAACAGTCCGAATAATGTAAGTAATTAGACACATTATGTAATATTTTGCAAACAGATGCAGTTTTTTTTTTTTATATATAAAAACAATGAAGACATGCGAAAGGAAATGTTTATAATTGGGACCATTTACTCCATAACTGATTTTGTTGACCAGAAAACTTTCATTTCAGTTTCTCTTTAGAATTATTTCTTTGACAGACATTAATCGGTTTTCAAAGGTTTCAATATTTGCAGTGTTTGTTTCTTTTTACTGATTTTCTTCTTTTCTTTTTGTTTCACTTAAAATACAATAACAATAAAAAATATTTCTTTTTTCAGCAAAAAGTTATTTTCCAAGAATGCAGCATCGTAAGAAACAAGAGTCAAACCAATTCCTCTTCCTTCTTGGAATTGCCAATGGATTATTACTATTAATTGCACTGACTCTTTCCATCACATATTGGAAATTAAGTAAGTTCACCAGAAAATCACTGTTAATTTAATTTCTTGAATCTATATCGATCTACTATCTATATTTCTCATGTTGTCTGTCTGTGTGTTTGTCATGGGCGTTGTTACCTCGCCCAGGCCGCATTTCTCACCCGATTTCGATGCGGTTTTCACCACAAGTTTGCAAATGACTGCCTTAAGGACATGACGCAGCCCGATTTTCAGTTCGGACTCAGGTTCCGAAAAAATCGATAATCGAAAAAATCTGCTTACAGAAGGAATTATTGCATTTCAACCAAATTTGACACCCTCTCAGAGTCTACCATTAGAAGTGTTGTCCAGAATTTTCATGACCACGGACCCTAAACAGCGCGGAAAATCGATAAAACCCAAAAAGCCGATACGCCCAGATTGCACCTGAACCGCATGTCGGTTTTAGCGAAACCGATCGGATTTATGAGGAGGCCATTGGGAGTCACCATGTGAAGTTTCAACTCTGAGCGCCCCCCCAAACAGAGTGCAAATGGACAATCGGTCAACCCTTAAAAATGTTTTTCCGGTTGGGTATTTCCTAAATGCAGATTAATTTAAGGTCACGCTATGCACGGGAAGAAATAGGTTAGTGTGTGCAGTGCTGTATGAGTCGTACGATTTTTGAATCAAGCACGGGAAACGCCAGGGCCATGCTTCTAGTATATATATATATATATATATATATATATATATATATATATATATATATATAAAAGTTGTAGCCTATTTCTGTCTTTTTTGTTATCGAAAATCTCCCTATGGTTTTGTAGATAGACCCTCCCTTCTCCCCCCAACAACAAAAAAAATATATTCTGAAACTATATTACTCGGGGTACTTGGATAAGTGTATTTCATTTTGATCAAAGGGGGTTCCCCCATTGAAAGTTGTTTTTTTCCCTTTGATATAAATTATATTTAAATTTGAACAAAGGAATGACACCTAGGATACTTAGATAATTATATTTCATTTTGATTCAAGGGGGTTCTCGGGAGGGTACAACATCCCACTGAATTATTTTTCCTTTGATTTAAATTAAATCCAAATTTGGACAAGGGAATGACTCCTATCCAAAATATAGAAGGAGAAAGCCAAAAGATGCGGGTCCTCGGGGGTGTGCACAAACCTCCCACTGAAAATATTTCCCATTTGATTTAAATTAAATTTCAATTTGAGCAAAGGAAAGGAGCAAAATATAGAAGGAGAAATCCAGGAGATGGAGATCAAAATGAGATAATATGGACGTCAAGTTGAGCAAGAAATCACCAATAGGTGGATAGTGTCTTACAATATATATTTGTTGCAACAATTTAGCTGTCATATGACTTTTGAAATCTGCTCATCAATTCATTCAATCAAGTATTGCATCAAATACATGTCAAAGGGATCAGATTACGCTGTTTTTGCACAACCTCCCACTGAATTTTGTTTTTACCTTTGATTTAAATTAAATTAAAATTTGAACAAGGGAATGACTCCTATCCGAAATATAGAAGGAGAAATCCAGAAGATGGAGGTCACATCGGCAAGATCATTGAGTAATAGTGAAATGCATCATTTTTTCCACAAATTATAATTGATTTCTTACAAAAAATGTGTGACAAGCAGCAAAGCAAAGGTAATTCGGTTAGTAATAAATAAAAACACCTTAGTGTTCATATTTGTGTGTGTATTTTTTTAATCAATGGTTTTATTTCATAACATTTAAATGTATATCCTTTAAAAATTTTGCAAAGTGCGTCCTGTATTTTCATTTGCTCCTGGGTGTGCCATTGTTGAGAAACACTGCCATAGAAGCCAAAGATCACTGAACTGACTTTGAACTGTGATTCATTGAAATATACTACTTGTCATTGACAGATGTGTATCCGATGGACAAAATTATGTTTGAAACATGCTCCTTATTATTTATTTTCATTGACAGGTGTGCATCTGATGGTGAAAAAACGAGGTCTTGTCCTGCTTATCGATGACCACGAGCATCACACCAATGCTGTAATTAAACTTGTCAACTACCTGAATGGATGCCATCTTAAAATGGATCTGGCATCGACGTTTCTCAAAAACTACGACATCCCAGATCAGCTGCTCATGATTTGTGAGTCCCTGAAATCAGATTTTGTCCTCTTGGTACTTTCATCCGCTTTACAAAAGAGAATGGAAGCCTGGAACAAGGAACAGGATTATGTGGAGTTTTTCAGGGAAACCAATTCCAATATTCTTACCAAACAACTTTTAGAGGTATTTCTGAAGAGCAACAAAACGTACGTGTGCAAGTTTGATCACATGACTGAATTCGGACACTGGCCAAAGCCTTGCTACTCACTGCCAAGTGGCCTAACTAACATGACTGCAGACCTGAACGGACAGAGTTTTAGCCAACGACTGATTCTTTTGAATTACTTCAAATCAAATACTCTTTGGAGTGAATTGCAGGCAGCAATTAAGAAAGCTGTCATGCACGAGCAGTCACACGTCAACTGGTTCCAGGAGAAGTATGTGTGTCCTCAGAATGTAGCAGCTTCACATTTAATCGCTGAGGAAACACTATGAAATAGCTACAAATAATCGTATTCGGGACCACAATGATTCCTACTCAATAGCCCTTAGAATAATTTGAAACATAACAGATTTTATCGCAGTTACAATAAGTTTGTCTTTCTATTTTATCTCTGAAGATGGTCTTGGAAAAGATCGAAATTACTTGGGTTAAAAAACAAACTACAGCGCCTTCCTTGATGAATTTCACCTTAACATCAAGAAACTGATTAGACAACAACAAAAGATCTGTATAAAAATAAATAGACACAATATGTCGATATTATTCAATGAATCATGTTTGAATGAAGATATGCTGCTTAAATATACATATACATATATATGTTTCAATGAATTTTATTGAGTTTTTCTAAAAATTCTTAAACACTTGATTATTGTGAACAACAGAAATGGAAAAAAAAACTGCTCCAGATTTGACAGTTAAACTTAATTCCTCACGCTAGTAACCAGTGTTGCTCTCAACTGTGAATAATAGACTTTGAGCACTGTGGCCATTAAGAAACCCATGTTAGTGGAGGTGAATAAGCAGAAAAGACTGCTATTGGCAAAAATGCATAAGAACTTGACTTTAAAAAGTGGCATAATATATTGTGGACAGATGAGTTCAAGTTTGAACTTTTCGATAGTAATAGGACAGTGTAAGTGAGAAGAAAGTCAAGAGAAAGATTGAATGATGATTGTGTGCTTCCAACAGTTAAGCAATGGCCGTGGGTCTGTTATATTATTTCATGGATGAGAGGCCTGGAGATTTGATTTAGGTCAAGGAAATCATGAAAAAAAGAACAATATCATTCGATTTTTCAACGGCATGCTATACAATCTGGTTTATAAGTTGGAAAAAAATCAACTTTTAACAATACAACGATTAGAAACACACTTCTAAATTATATCAAAATTACCACGAGTCTTAAGAAAGAACAAAATTTTGGAGGTTATAACTTGGCTGCCTCAATCTCCTGACTTGAATTCGTATGGGATGAATTCGTATGGGATGAATTGGATAGGAGAGTTTGAAGAGAATATCCAAAGCGTGAGAGTAAGCTTTTTCAGGGCTTGAAGAGTGCATGGGAATGCATTTACTTTTTTTTTGTAATAAATTGTTGGAAAAATATTAAGAATTTTTAAAATCAGCAATTAAGACAAGTTGTGGTTTTATTGATGAAAAGAAAATATGATGCTGTTGTACTTTTTTTATAGTTAAGTGCTTATTTTTGTCACAATAAAAGCAAATACACTGTTGTTACTTAAATTTTATGTTTACTTTAAAAATGTGCAAAAATATCTCATTTTAAGGTATTTTATAATGCAGAGTGGCACCAAACTTTTTGCCTGTAGTGTCACAAAATATCCATGATACAATTTTGCCAAACCATTTTCAAGGGAACATATCACTGGATTTCTCTAAATATCACACAGTGAAGGTAATGACGAGATTAGAAGTAATATGAAATGTTGACATCTTGAATTTGTGATTAATTCCCTATTGAGTTACATATGCTATCTCTTTTAGCTGTTGTTGCTGTTGAAAGTCATCAAGTGATGTGGTTTCTGTTATTTGATTGTGATTCTTAAGCACCGTTCCAGTTAGTTCAAAGAAAGTTAGTTCTTGCTGCTACCTTGCACGCTTCACTTGCTCTAGGCCCTTTTTAAACCATCCATTCATCTGAGAAAGTGGCTGTATACAGCTGACAGTTTAGATATTACTGAAGGGGTCTGGCACCATGCATGACATTCATATGAAAGTTTCAACCTGACAAGGCTATCTAAGAAAATGACTTGTGGTTTTAGGTTAATATTTTGTGCAACCTCTTTGCAAGGACACATTTTACTGGATTTCTGTAAATATTAAACGGTAATGATGATAGCTGTTTCCTTATAAGGAACCATTCGTCATTCATTGATCAGACAGCACTACTATCGGTTGATATTTATAAAATGTTTCTCTTAAAATGATTTTTAAGGAAAATAGGTTTCTCAAGTACATTAACTATTATCGCTATTTCTACAATTGATGAGCATTTCCTTCCTAAACGTTTTGCTTTTGTTAGTGTGGAAAATCTTCATTATGTCATTGTTTTCACTTCAAGTTTCATGTGCTATTCTTTTTAGTTGCTGCTGTTGGCAGTCCTTGAGTAATGTGGATTCTTTTATATGGTACAGTTGTTTGTTTTTGATTCTGTAGCGCTAATCGAGAATAGATCTGACGAAGGATATCCCTCTTCAAGGCCCTTATCATTAAAGGACCGGATATAAAATTAGCTAAAGTAACTTCAATGAAAAAATAAATTGAATAACATATATATTTCTTCTTTTCTCCTCAGTAATTTTATAGTTGTAAACTTAATAGCGATTAAATTTTGATCTGGAAATTAGCAGTTTTTAATTTTAATACTAAATTTTATCATATAATTTAGTAATTATTGGTTAGAATTAATTCTTTTTTTAATACTACCCATATTTTAAACATCAGAATAGCTATTATAACATGACTTCGTTGTCAAGCTTTTTGAATTTTCCTATACTTGTATTTTGATTGGTTCATCTAGCTTTTGTAACAACGTTTTCCCCTTGTAAAGGATTGTTAATTAATTCGAAACTTTTAAAACCATTTATTTTACATTCAACATCATCACTTGATGAGACACCGAGAGTGTTGAAACAAAATGGCTATTTTTGTAGTAATTTTATAACATATTTATGTTATAAATTTTTTTAAATAAATAATTATATCTGCTCTACTTTGTATTGAGCACTCTGTTAAGAATAGTATTTGTTGGTTATTGGAATTCATTCCATATACAGCAATCATATACTTGGGTATATATATATATATATATATATATATATATATATATATATATATATATATAGACAAAAACAATTTACTCACTACAAAGATGCAACTTCGTTTCAGTGCGTTTGAGTTGCACCTCGACTGGTGAGAACCAATTAGTTCATAACCAGTTACTCTCCTGGAGGTTAATATCTGCCATGCTGAGGGATGGCATAATGATCGTCTATTATGAATAAGGAGGCACGGTAGCTGCTCGGATTGAGGAATCGGAGAGCCGAATTCGAATTCTAGTCGAATCCATTACATTCACTTATGTGCTAATACGCTTGGGAAAGGTATGGATCCTCTTCTTCCCCTAGCTATGGGTAAATAATAGGACAGACCGGGTTCTATAGCCTTGGATGACAACCTACTGCGGGCAAAAATCTGCCTCGTCAGTCATGTATCGAAAGATATATGATCGCCTAAGCGTGTATCGCGCATGGTATATAACTGACTGATGATGATTAAGAGACTGCAGTTTCGTTTTGGAGGCGTTAAAATTTGAAAATCATTTCTTGCCCCAGTTAACAACTGATTGAAGGTAATTTTCTAGAGCAGCTGTCAGTTTTATTTTTTAGGGCCAATCGGGCTTATTATTAAGACAGGAGTAAATAGTTCAGTAATCGGCATGAATAATAAATTTAAACATAAAACCACGAAATTTAAATTTTCCGCCTAAGATAAATTAATTGTTACGTCAGCAACAAACAGTAGCAGCAATATTTATCAGTCAAGTCTAACTGGTTACTTGGAATTACTCTTGTAAATTTTACGAGGTGGTAGTCCTAAGAATCGAAAGTGAATTGTCAGATATTATTTCTGTTTTATGAAAATTTTATTATCCGTGTTAGAATGGATCAAAACCGAGAATTCAGTTTTACACTAAATAAATGAACAGCAAATTCTCTCTGTCTGTCCGTGTGTCTGAAACTCCTCTAACTCGGGCCACACTTGCTCAACATAGACATATTCTACATTTTTGGATACAGAATGATCCCGGGATTGAAAATCTGTCCTTCATCTGGTACTGGAACATCCAACGTTGGTATTTGTGCCCAGATGAAAAAAAAAAGTTAAAAATTCAAATTTTAAAATAACTGAATTTTTTTAGTGATTTTAAGTTTATAATTTATATTGAGTTTAAAGTAAGACAAAAACTTTGTGGATTTAAACTTTCTCGTTTTAAATTCAGTTTAAAATATCTTCAAAACTTTGAAGAAATCAATTTTATTTTTTCAAAAAGCCAAAGAATCAGAGTTAAAGTGCCAGGTTTAGCGACATGAGATTTTGAAGTTACGTAGAGTTTCTGATTTGAAGAACTCAATTTTCAGCTTGAGTCAGAATTTCGGCGCAAATCGGCGTTTTGGCCCAAATCGGCGTTTTGGCCCAAATCGGCGTTTTGGTCGAAATCGGCGTTTTGGCCCAAATCAGCATTTTGGCCCAAATCAGCGTTTTGGCTCAAATCGGCGTTTTGGTCCAAATCGGCGTTTTGGCACCAAATCGGCGTTTTGGTCTAAATCGGCGTTTTGGCCCAACTCGGCGTTTTGGCCCAAATCGGCGTTTTGGCCTAAATCGGCGTTTTGGCCCAAATCGGTCTTTTGGGCGGAATTGGACTTAAAGTACAAATCAGAGTTAAAGTGAGGTTTTGAATATCCATAGAGTGAATTGAGGAATTCAAAGTTATTTCTGCAATATTATTACTGTTTTCTAAGCTGGATCAGAGGTTAATTTATTTTTGAACTGGAGGCCCAATTAGCCTTATACAGTAATGAAAAAAAAGATTGTCTATTTTTATTCGAACAATAAAACAACATAACAGATTAAAAAGTCATTCATAAGTAAAAAGAGGGGCATCTTGACATGGTGTAATGGTTAACATGGTAATCCTGAAATATAAAGATTGAAAAAATAGATAAACCGGTTTATCGGTCCACTCTTAGAGGTAAATCCTGGACAAAATAAATAACTAAATGGGCATAGATACTAAAACATATACAGTCCCAAACTAATGTTATAATAAAATTATTATAATATAAAGGAAATTAGCCTTTAATGTTATATTTTGTCCATTTCGTAATGTGTGACGTCATTTGTTTTTACATTTGATACGCCATGAGCAGACATGAATGTACGTGAGACATTCATGGAAGATTGAAGT